CAAAGCTACGTCGTTGCGTTTGGATAGTGGTTACACTCTTTTCGACGCGCGGTAATGTGGTTTGCTCCTCTAGTGTTGTATAACTCAATGCTTAAGTCTGTCATTTTAAAATTTTGATTATCAAATGAATTTTTATAAAATAAATACCCAGTTTTCTTTTCTAACTTGCAAAGTAACTGACTTTGAAATTTGAAATGGTTCCTTATCAATATTTACTTTTCTATTAATAAAAGGACCATTAGTAAATAATAAATCATAAAATTTTAAAATCTTCAAGTTCCATATTGTTGCCTGTATATTTGTAAAAACATAGCGGAATAAATTGTTGCCAGTCATAAGGTGTTAATATTATAAGTGTAGGTAAGTTTTTACATCTTCTCTTAATATTGGCATGTACAGTATCTGCTTAAATATGTATGTGTCCTTTTAATAAAACTTTTAGTTCTATAACTTTGAATGGAGAAAATTTTTAAGAAGGAAAAACATGCACATGACAACATAAATATTCTTATTTTGCACATAACAGTTATCTGACCTGGTCACTAACTGATATGGTCATTTGTTCAATATCTGATCCTGGTACATTTTTAGATGCCCAGTTTAAGATGTTTGAAGCTATTTTGTTTCCATCCCTTTGAGCTTTAGTTTCATCCCACATAAATAGAAATTCAGAACTGTCAGAACCATCATAAATATTGTAATTTAATATCCAAAGTTTTCTCTTATAGAAATGAACCCCGTTTTAGGTCTATATTTTGATTCAGACATATCCTACGATTTATGTTTGTACCTATTATCAACTTCAATAATTAAAGGTAAATCTTTTTCTATTTACAGAAGTTGTTTCTCAGTGCCATCCTACATCCCTTTAAGTTTTGCTGAAATCATATCGCAATCGTCACAAGTATAAAGTAATTTGTAAAGATCGTACATTCGTTCAATAACATCTCTTTGATCTCTCACGATTGTATTGACATTTATACTTTGGGAGAGATGAAATGTGGGACATAACAGATTTAATAATTTCAGGATCCGTTTAGTTAGATGGTGTATGTTTCCCTCTTTTGTCACTTTCAACAATAGATCCCTCTTATCTCAGTCTTAAGCAGTCTTAACCACTTGTTGAGAAATTTAGAAACATTGTCTTACAGATTGCTGTTGTTATACCTTCAACAACAAAAGAATACACTAAAGTATTTGATCCTAACTTAGATTCATCTCCTGATCTCAGTCTTTGTCTTGTTGTAGGTTTTGGACTGGACACATGATACTATGAATTACCTCTTAACATTGTAGTCTTTTTCTGGATCCCAATAAAAGTAAATATCTCTTTCTTATTCTGCTGGGATATTTTAGTACTGCATTTCATGCGGAAATTCGTGCTACATGCAGCACTTTTGTTCATGTAAGCTTAAGATCATTTCTTATTCGCTTTTTTCCTGTCTGCTCTATTGTACTTCTATTCCGATCTTTTATTTTTTTGGTAGATTATTAAGTATGAATTTGTTGTAAATTATTCTGGCATATAGAATTTGGTACATCTTGAGATGTGCTTGGAACACCCTCTTCAAGCGCAGCCAAAGGCACAATTTACATAATACAATAAATAAATGCAAATAATAAAGTGCAACTTACGTTCATTAACAAACTTCTCATCTTATTTGGACTTAGGATGCTTTCGTTTTTTTTTTGATAATTGAGCGGAACAAAAGCATAAATCCAGATCAGATTGTATACCTTTGAATTAACCTGGACTTAAAACATTTTAACGAGTTCGAAAGCATGTAGTTTTTTTAGTTGGACTTAAAAATACTATACCACCAAGTAGATCGTTCTTTTTTTGTTTCAATGACATTACAAAGTGAAAGTCGAAAAAAATGGACTTAGGATAATACACCTTCGGTATGCAGATATTATTATTTCCTATAATAGTGGGTAATAATTTATAGAAAAGTTGGCCACACCGAAGATTTTAGGTTAAAATTTGCAATTGTTATTTTTGTACTTTTTAACGATAAATTTACGTCTAGAGTACAATATACACAATGTATGTATTTTATTAAATGTTACAGACTGCCTAGTAACCGATAGAGTGGTATACTTACGAATGAAAAGACAACCCCGCCATTTTCCTTTCACTATCACTTTTACACCCTAATACACTACACCGCACCATGTTTTAAATAAAAATGGTTGGAATACTACGTCTTAATTGTTCACAACAAAATATAATATGAAATACTTATCATAAAACACGTAAAACAGTATTTTATACAAAGAATTTATCACGCTACACGTTAGCTGTCAAACTTTATTTAGCAAAGTGGTTTGCTAAATATTAAAAAACGTGACACGCTCTGCGAAACAAAAAATCTCATCGTTCTTTCTCATTTCTTTACACGACATCGGCGTAAGTTGCTCTTTCTCTTGTGTGACTGCGATAAAAGATATCGCTTTGTCTATAGGTTTCTCTGTCTACGCTATAGACTAATGATAGGCGTGGCCTCGAGTGAGAAAGGACGATAACGAAGTTTTAGGTTATACAATAATCTTTATGACTTTTAAACACATTTAGATATAAATTTTAATTGTTCTAAGAACTGAACTGAACAAGATTCACCAATCTTATGGTCACAAAACACTTTTTTCCTCTTTTATACCGCTTTACACTTTTGACCTCTATATATACAGTAGTCAGAGAAACCTATAGACAAATTGACGCCTTCTTTCGCAGTCGCACACGAAAAAGATAGATTTATGCGTACGTCTTGCATAGAAATGAGATAGAGCGGTGTGATTGTTTGTCCCTTTCTCCGTGCCGGTTTTTTTGTTTAGCAAACTCTACAGTTTGCTAAACAACTTTAACAGCATAGCGATTTAAGGAGTTTACAAGTTGGTTTAAGTGAGAAAAAAGTGTTTTGTGAGCTTAAGATTGGTGAATCTTGTTCAGTTTAGTTCTTAGAACAATTAAAATTTTTATCTAAATGTGTTTAAAAGTCGTAAAGATTATTGTATAACCTAAAAATTCGTTATCGTCGTTTCTCACTCGAGGCCACGCCGATCATTAGTCTATAGGTTTCTCTGTCTACGATATATACAAGTACGCTGGACTGGCTATATCATACAAAATGTCTGTGCCAATTTGAAGCACTCCTAACGGTCGTCTTGGAAACTAAAATTGACTTTATATGCAAAAGTCTGTTGTCTTAATTAAGTATTATCTCTGTATTTTGAACTTTTAAACTAAAATACGAAATATTTTATGTTGTTTGATTGTGTATAATATTAGTTAAGTACATAATAAGAATTATTTTTAAAAGTAATGAGAGTGTGCGTAATCTATAAAACTCGTTACCAAAAGGGACGTGGTTACGTATTGCAGTTAATCTTAATACCATATATGCCAACATGTTTGGCTGTATATTACTGAGTTTTGTTAAACAATAAAACTCAATAGGGTGGTCGAGTTCCTTGTCTACAATACTTATCGATGTTCTTTCCTCCATTTAATGGTTAAGGGTACACTAGTTACTCATTATTCCATACAAAAGTAGTCTGGCGATTACTCCACTGTTTGATTGTGTACGTTCAAAACAAAAAATGATTTCAATTTGTTTCATCATTATCTAGCCCTGTATGGAAACAATAAACACTTGAAGCTTCCAAGTGCTCGTTTTTTCCTAGCTCCATTCACATATCGGTCTCGGGGAGTCTGTAGTGCAGGTGAAGTCAGATGCTGCGCCTTGTGTTTCTGGTGTGCCTATTCTGAGAAGAAATATGGGGGGGGGGGAGAGAAGTCAGCAACTAAGGAAGAGCTACCATTGGGTGGCTGGCGCTGGAGGGGCCACTGGTGTGCATGAAAGCGTTTCCGTGGCTCAGTCAATTTGCGGCGGAGGTAGAACACCATGGGGTTACAGTAAGTGCAAGTCTAGAGATTTAATTCTCTCCCGAGTCTCAAAATTTAGTTTGGGCTTTAACTTGGTAGTGACCCTACTTTAGATTATTTCTTATTTACAAATTCTGGCCATCGTTTACATTCATGGTTTTTGGCAGCTTCCTCTTGCCCAACTTCTACCGGCAAAAGCAATTAAATGTTCGATCAAGAACCCATAGATTGCGATATGTCAAGCCCCCTAGAATACGTGGCACTGTCGAAGCTGGAAAGCTTAGTAGAATAAACTTGGGAATGAGGGTATCGGCAGTAGAACTAGAGTGACCGACATAGCCTAACTTAGTAGTAAGCTGAAGTGGCAATGTTGACCAGCCATGTATAGCTCGAAGAACCGATAACCGATGGGGAAAAAGGGTTTTCAAGTAGAAGCCTCGTACCGGCAGGTGAAGTGTCGGAAGTTCCCCACTAGATGGAGTGAAAATCTGGTAAGATACAGGAAGTTAATGGATGCAGGTGACTCAGGACCGTACTTTGTGGCATTCTTTGGGGGAGGCCTATGTTCAGCAGTGGACTTGTGAAGGGCTTTAATGATGATGAATGATAATGCATTATATTTATATGATACATGAATAGAATGACTGTTACGAGTAGAGTCCATCTATCCATAGAGTCCATTCTATTTATTTAGGTATAGGTAGGCTAGGGTATAGAATTTTTATCGATATATTTTGTCAGTCTGTCTTATCCTTATTATTAGTTCCGTGGACGTGCACTTCTGCTGTCAGCGCCAAAATGGCGCAAATCAAATTGTCTCATCATGTCACGGTGTATAGCCAGTCCAGTGTACTTGTATACATAGAGTTCAGTGGTGTTCGCGTGGACAGAATGTCTACGGATGTTTGTGTCATGATCTTAAAGGCTAGAACCCACAGCTACGAAGCCTGTTAAATTTTTGGTACATTTCTATTTGTCTATGGTTCAATTAAAAAATACAATGGCGTCCGAGCGGTCCTAGAGTCCGATAATTACTTTGATCTAAAATCAGTGATTTCTGACCAGTTTTATTGGATAATTATTTTACTGATTTGATTCCCAAATAGCCATCAAAATGATGTTAACAATACATGGATTACCTCCAAATGTATGTAAAATATACTTAATGTAGATGTAATGTGGACGATTACAAACTGTTGCTCTCGATATTTTAAATTTCTTTCTTTTTAGACCAAATTCCAGGATTTGAAAAATATAATTAAGCAAGAGTGTAAAATTACTGATTTCATTCTGAGTCCTTTGAATGTTGACCCAGATGGTACAAAAAGAGTAAGGATAGGTCTTGCCGATGACAAGGAAGGCAACCTCTTGATGAAATATTTGGATCGATACAGATTATCTGGATATGTTCTTAGAGTAGTTCCTGTTGGAAAGCAAACAGTAAGTTTCAGAATTTTTCCGTGATTAAGATATGCTTTTTTTGTCTTGCTAGGATTTGTGGTTTATCAAATATGATGTTAATAAGGGGTTACACCTGTCCATAATTTTTTTTTGTAGATGAGGGGCAAACGAGCATGCGGCTCACCTGATGTTAAGTGACTACCGCCGCCCATGATCAACCGCAACACCAGGGGAATTGCAGGTGCGTTGCCGGCCAAGCATCCAGATGGTGTGGATGGTATCGGTACGTTTGCCGCGTAGTGCGTTCACGAAATTTGGCGGCTAGGATTAATTCGAAGAATTCCTCAGAGCACTCTCCATGGTATATGAGAAAGAAAACACAAAGATATGCAACATCTCAGCAGTGCCAGTGAATCGAGCCGATTGGACAGCACTCGGTCGTCGACGATTCGAGCCGTTATGCGCTGGATGCGGTCAAGTGGAAGGAGCTGGTACTGGGGAACCCCAGCCCAGAGATGGGAACAGTATTCCATGTGCGGCCTAACTTGCGCTTTGTAAAGTTGCAGGCGGTCCCGCTCTGCTGAGCACGCCAAGCTTTTTAGAGGCCAATTTGGCCTTCTCTTTCAAGTGACCATGAAACTGCATGTCACTCGATATGTCGACGCTGAGGATTCTGATACTGGCTGAGGCAACAAGGAGAGTGCCTTGAATCTGAGGAGATAACAACAAAGGGGTTCTTTTTAGCGGTTAATGCGCAAACTTGTGTCTTCTGGGGGTTAAACTGGACTAGATTTAGTCGCCCCCAATCCGAGACTGTTCAGCAAAGACTCGACTTCAGACACAAGTTTGTCCCGGCACTCGGAAACGTTTTCCCGAGAAATATTGGCTCGGCCAGTGTAAAGAGCATCACTAGTGCTGTCATCTGCATAGCAATGAATGTTACAGGTTTACAACATATCATTGATATGCAGAAGAAACAGCGTTGGCGATAGCACGCAGCCTTGTGGAACACCAGCATTAATAGGCTTGCAATCGGAGCTTGCACCGTCTACAACAACCTTGCTCCCTCTGCTCCATCTGCAAGAAAGCTGTGGATCCAATTGCATAATTTCTCGGGAAGTCCATAGGAAGGGAGCTTCGAAAGACGCACTCTGTGCCAATCCAGTCGAAGGCCTTCGCAATGTCCAAACTAACGGCCAATACCTCCCCCTTGGACTCTACTGCCTCCGCCCATCTATTAGTTAGGTAGACCAGAAGATCACCAGCTGATCGATCATGACAAAATCCATATTAGCGATCACTAATCAACTGGTGATCCTCAAGGAACCTCATGAACTGGCAGTTTACAATGGACTCCATTGTTTTGGGGAACAAGGAGGTGATGGCGATAGGCCGGTAGTTGGACGGGTCTGAGCGGTCGCCTTTTTTAGGGATCGGGTGGACGAAAGCCGTCTTCCATGATTTTGGGACTACGCCTAGGGAGTAGGAGTACCGGAAAAGACGCATTAAAACCGGTGCCAACTCTGGACCTCACGTCCACAGCACAATTGGGGGGATTCCGTCAGGCCCACTCGACTTGAGGATTGGTGAGCTGCACTTCCGGCATGGAGCACTCACACCGCGGGATGGTCGGCGGCGTACTCCCCCGATCATCGAGAGTCGAGTTGGACGCAAAGAAAGAGCCTAGAAGATCGGCTTTCTCCTTTGCAGTATGGCCAGTGAGTCATCCTCCCTGTGCAGAGATGGCTGACAGAAATTCCCCTGGACAGCCTTGGCGAGAGACCAGAATGCACAGGTTCCAGAGGGAAGGCGAACTAGTTTCTCGCCAATTCTGCCTATGTGCTCTGACTTTGCCTTGGCTATGACTCTTTTGAAGGACCTAGTGGCGGAATTATACTTCTTTTTTATAGCGCTGGTGTTTACACCCTGGGACGCTGATGCGTCAGCCCAGGCTCAGTAGCACTCCTGCTTATAGCGTGATGTTATTTTACAGGAGCGACCAAACCATGGCTGAGATTTGCCTCCAATAAAAGGCACCACAGAAGAAGGAATAAAAAGTTCCATACCCTGAAGTACCACATCAGCGACAGAATCCGCAACAATGTTGGGATTGTCCTGCGAGAAGCAAACCCGCCCCCAAGGGTAGGATGCAAAGAAAGACCGCATCCCATCTCAATCGGCTGACCTATAGTGCCAAACACGGCGGTGGCAGCCTGCAGAATGCAACTGCGATTTCAGCGTGAGTGGCACCACACTCCGGACAAGACAATGGTCCGAGGAGCCTAAAGGGGATTCGATCTGATATCCGTCCGGGTGAGAGGTCAGCAGAAGGTCCAACAGGGAAGGTGCATGATCCTCCACATCTGGAATCCGCGTAGGCGAAGTAACCAGTTGTGTCAGACCATATGCCAAGGCCAAATCATAAACAGATCTCCCCGCATGATCGGTTAAACGTGAACCAAGCCATTCGGCGTGATGGGCGTTAAAGTCGCCGAGGATCACGATCTCTGCGGAGGGGATCTGATGTGGCAACGAATCTGTAGCCATTTGGACGTGGTCTAAGAGTCGGTCTGTTTCGGCATTACCGCTATGGGACCTATAGAGGCACCCGTAGACGCGCGGTTGGTTGTCGCTGTCTACACGTAGCCAAAGGATGGACAGGTCCGAACCTTCAAGTCTGCCGAGGCGTCGAGAACAGATGTCCTCTCTGACGTAAACGCAAACTCCAGCCCGAGGCACAAAAGAGTGTTCAGTTTGTACCCCGGGTAGGAGATATACGAGACATCAGCTGGAGAGGACACCTGCGTCTCGGTCAGAAAGAGCAGAGCCGGCCTCGCCGTCTTGAGATGGTAGGACGGCGTTTAGGTTAGAGCGAAGTCCCCTGATATTGCAGAAATTCTCTTGATTTTCCTCCGGGAAATATTTTTCTGTCTAATCTGTATAGTGTGTAACCTGGAATCGAAATGCTGGCTCCCTTGTCTATGCTTTTGAGCCAAGTCTCTGTAAGTAAAACAAATGTAGGGTTTTTTGTTTGTATTTCAAGAAGCAGTAAATCAAACTTAGTATTCAGAGACCAGATGTTAGTGTATAAAATTGTGAGTGTAGCGTACGGGTTGTTAGTGATTAGTTTTTTGTTTTATAATTTTGGGTTCTCCTTTGACATATTTGATTGTGATGTCCGTTTCACCCTTCTCTTGCCTAGCCAGCAGTTCGGGTACGCAGAGCCTGTAGGGCCTCTCTTTGTTTTGGTGTTTGGTCACAGTAGATTTGCAACGGTTTGCTCAACTTTTGTTTGTTTTGAAGTGCCTTGACAGCTACCCAGCGAGACTTAAGCACTATTTGAGCAAACAAGTCTTGCCTGTTTCTCTTTTTCCTAGCCTTATAATTTTAAGCACAACACTTGGGGATATTTCGTCGTTTAGATTACTAATAATATTATTCACCACATTTTCATCATGTTTCTGGCGTATTTGCACATCTTCCGCCTCAGATTCCTTGGTGCCCGCGATCAAAATATTGCACGCTCGGCGATCCCGCTCACGTATTTCCGCTATAACATCAGACGTGACGGTTTTTGAAGCAGAAGTGGCATCAGTTAGGCCAGATTTCGATGCCAATTCCGATTGCAACTGCTGTACTTCATCCCGCAATGCATCAACAGCTTTTATCAAAATCGGTACTTGAAACAGCCCCTCGCGACATGGTATGCCATTACACCCATCACATTGCACTGCATCCTCCATATTTACGCTTTTCACACACTGATAACATTTCGTAATAGACATGTTTGCGAAGTTTGAATGTAAATACACAGTGAATATTGATTTTTAATCGAAATTTAGAGTAGGAGAAAACACCAACACAACTTCAATTTTGACAACTGTCAATGAATCAGCTATAATACTTCACTAAATACTGCTGTAGCAGGGTCGAGAGAAGTGTGTATTTACATTCTGTCTTACCACTCACATCACTTTCCACTATGGCAGACGTCGAAATAATTACTGCGTCCGCGCTCTGTCTTCATGTAATACAAAAAATGATAAGAATTCAAAAAGATATCAAATTCAAAAGAAGATATATAGATAGAAAATTTATTTGCTTAAAAACATGGTACATAAGATGATCAATGATGTGGAAATGTTTTGCAATAATTGGCATGCAAAACTGATATGAAATACAGCTAATTACACAAACCCAATGTTACATTTTAAAATTATTTCATTGCTTAAAAGTAAGGTACAAACATTCTTTTTCAACTCAAATATTATGTACAATTAAATACTTATACAGATCCACACTGTTTGAATTCTTTTACAATAAATTGTTCATAAATTATTAATTGAATTATTACATTATTGTTACATAAATAATAGTACCTGGATGACCGAGATTTGCTCGGTTTTAATTAAAAAAATTTATGCAATTAGTTTAATTAAAATTTTCGTATTTTTATAAAATACTAAAAAAAGGGCTCAAAATAATAGATTTTCTCATAAAAGAAGGCAACTTGAAAAAAAAAGGAAAAAAGTCGGACCGAAGACGGGACTCGAACCAAGGCATTACGATTTCGCGACCACTCGATATCCACTTGAGCTATTACGATCATTGACACAGTATCAAAATTTACCTTATATTGTAGCAGTTTTTCATTGCCTGAAAACACGGACAAAAAGACATTTTCTAAAAATAAATTCTACCTAGATCGATTTATTGCCCCCGAAACTCCCTGGACACTAAATTTTATGAAAATCGTTGGAGCCGTTTCCGAGATTCCGATTATATATATAAGAATTGCTTGTTTAAAGGTATAAATAATATTAAATATTATGTGAGATTAGTTAAGCTATTATTATTTTAATAATTACACTACAGTATAAATTAAATCATAATTATAATTTACAAATCTCGGGCTATTATGCAAATATTACCGTTTAACTTAATACGTTATTTTACATTTTAATAAATAAATAATCAATATGAGTTACTAATTGTTTTTAGAAATAAAATGTCAATGTTCATTAATTCCTACTAAATTTTATATTAATATAATAAATTTGACGAAATTTATAATTAATTATGTACATAGGTATTATGTTATCTCAAAAAGAAAATTTGTCTTTGTAGAAAATGATGAATTATGGTTTTTATCATTGAAATCCCATATAGTTTTTTCTGATTCCAGCAGTTCCAAAAACTTGATTATATTTTCGTTACTCCACTTAAAAGGCATTTTGGCAGATCGTACTTATTTAAAAACAAGACGGCACGTGTGTCCGTTCGTCCAGGCGCTTGGTGCGAAGTGAGCGACGGAGCAGAATGAGAACACTCACTGCCACTCGTGCTGCCCGTCCTTTGACTTCCGCACGACAAACCGACAATCGAGGGAGCGTCGGACAGCGGCAGCGACAGCGCGAGTCGCGTATTTACATACTTTCCTGCCCACTTCCCTGCCCAAAAAGGCTGAATGTAAATGGGGCATTAGCAGTTATTAAAAACGCATTTCACTCAGGTGCTAAGGAAGAGCACAATAACACAAGATATAATGTAAAAGTGTGAGGGCTTGTAGAAAACCTTATAGAACATTCTTGTTAAATTGTAACACTGAAAATTATATTGTATTACATTAAATTGTAATACTGAAAATTATAAAACATGGTAAATCATACTTTTTTCATAATAGGTGTGAATGCCTTATTGATCCAGTTGTAATTGTAACTCTTGAACATATTGTCCCGGGTTGGAATTTTGGGTCAGAGCAAAATCAGTTTTCAGGTTTTTTGTCATAATTCAGTATCAACCCTGAGTAAGGAAGTTGGTGATTTTTCACACCTGTGCCTCCGAAAGCACATATTAAAACCTTTGTTTCTGCACCTGTTTTCTCTTTGGTAGTGTCAGTCTTTCCAACAAATTACAAGAGTGAAGGAATAGAAAGTACACCTGTACATGTGCATACACTTGTGCACTTTAATTCCTCCCTGGGCAGGTGGCTAGTTTCAATTAAGACTAGCTGCTGTGAATCAAATGTGGTCTGAAGGACATTATTTCATAACAAGTATGAAACTTGTTCTTTCTTGTTTTAATACTACAGTAAATTAGTGGTGACTAAGCGTGTATAAGTAATATGCCACCAAGGGGAAGTTCCTAGTGTATGTTCACATTTATTATTATTAAAGAAAGAATTTGAGTAGAGTATTGTTACTCAAGTTTCTTTATTGAGCCATTTAAGTGATTTCAAACTTACATGTGTTCTAGTAAAAAAAAATAGATTTCAGTGTTAAGTATTTGTACTGCTTTGAAACAAATACATAATTACATATTACAAACCAATAGTCCACTCCGGCATCACTTTACTGGTGGATCTAAACCATCCAGGGTCCACTCAAATACACAAATAATTTCATCAGAATCGGTCGAGCTAGTTTCGGGTTTTAGCGAAACTAATGAAGAGGAATTAATTTTTATATATAGACAGAATATAAAGTTTTAAATCTTTACAGATTGATAACCCACAGCAAAATACATTTCATGATGGTAGTCATCAGTGGACTGGTAACCAGCAAAGACTGGATCCTGTACAAAATCGACCTATGGCTTGGTCTGATGGACATGGTAATCAGCAGTGGATACCAAACCAACAAGCTGCACCATTGCAAATGCAGGCTCATAGTAGTTTCGGTTATGTGCAACCAGCTAGTGGTGTTCAACAACAATACTTCCATCAGGTAAGGATATTTGATCCAGTATGTTTTCCTATTTGTTTGTTATTAAATCCTTTTAAATTTAAGAAATTTGGAAAGTTGAGGAAAACTTAGCTATCTTTAATGTTGATAAAACATTAACCCCTCAATCCCAATATAAATCTCATGCAGTCGCATGCGCCCGACAAATCCTTATATCTTCCAAACTCCAATCCGAACCATTAAATCTTATATTTAGAGACTACTTTTCTATGAAGAGGTTTGGCATTAATAAAATCTATACAAAATTCTCTATATAAAAGTCAGGTTTTACTTCATTACAAAGAGACTATTGTATTTTGATAACAAAAACAAAACATACCAAGCGAATGTCGGCAGCGTCAAAATTACAATTATTTCAATATACGAGGGTGGATTGAAAAGTACTCGGCCTAACACAGATCCATTCAATTCTAAAAATCAAATCTACCCACATTATTTAGTTCAGTTCAGACTAGTTCATTGTGTGAAGTTCGAAACGTGTGCGATAATTAGTTGTGATTTTATAAATTTATTAACAAAGTAATCGGACATAATTTCCGCGAATGGAGCAAATCGAGCAGCGTGCCGTCATTAAGTACCTCCATAAGAAGGGGCTATCATCAAAAGCCATCCATGATGACATGGTCAGTACATTAGGCGATTGTGCTCTGTCATATTCATCCGTCAAAAAATGGATAGCAGAATTTAAGCGTGGTAGAGAGAGTGTGAAAGATGAACCCCGCTCTGGAAGGCCTTCGACGTCAACTACTGACGAAAATATTAAAAAAGTACTTGATTTAATGATGGGAGACCGCAGATTAAAAATTAGAGAGATAGCCGAGATTATAGGCATCTCTTATGAACGAACTCAAAACATCATTGTCAACGAGTTGGGTTTCCACAAGGTGTCTGCGAGGTGGGTTCCGCGACTGCTTTCAGTTGAACAAAAAAGGACGCGATTGACTATTTCATGCGACTGTTTGAAGTTATTTGAAGCCGATGCAGATGATTTTTTGAATCGTTTTGTTACTATGGACGAAACATGGGTTCATTACTGTACACCGGAAACAAAACAACAATCAAAACAGTGGAGAAGACCTGGTTCACCACCCCCTAAAAAGGCTAAGTCGATTTTGTCGGCAAATAAGGTGATGGCTTCAGTATTCTGGGACTCGAAAGGTGTGATTATGATTGATTATCTTGAAAGGGGTCAGACTATAAACTCTGATTACTACTGCACCTTACTACGTCGTTTACGAGAGGAAATAAAAGAAAAACGTCGAGGAATGCTCAGAAGAAAAGTCCTGTTTCATCAAGATAACGCCCGTGTTCACACGTCAGTACAGTCAATGGCTGAAATTCACAACTGTGGCTTTGAACTGTTACCGCATCCGCCGTATTCACCTGATCTGGCACCATCAGACTTCTTTCTGTTCCCTAACCTAAAAAAGCACTTGGGAGGGCAAAGATTTTCGACAAACGACGAGGTCAAAGCAGCTGTAGACGCATATTTTGACTCTAAGGAAGAATCATTTTTTTTCAACGGTCTAAATGCTTGGAAGGGGAGGTGGCAAAAGTGTTTTGAACTTGATGGTGATTATGTAGAAAAATAAAAATATAACTGATTTAGTATATGTTTATTTTCTTGGTTAGGCCGAGTACTTTTCAATCCACCCTCGTATATTACTCGAAATTATTTACGTAAAAAGATAAATTATATTCACACAAAAACTTTCATTACAATTTTATAATAAAACACTACTAAAACATTTATAAAACACTAGAATAATCCAAAAATCAACACAATAACATTCACGCGAAAATGGCGTACGAAATGTACGTAGATTTTAAATAAATATCCATAGGATAACTTAACTTTTTATTGCACTAGAGGATAGAAAATTTCATATTGATTCTATAATGCTGTTTGCGCCCGATATTTACAAGAGATAGTTTGCGGGCGCGCATCTTTGAGCGGGAAACCGGTCTGACGGCAGAGGCCCGGGGGGGGGGGCGGGATAGGCGTCGGACGGCAGCGCTGGGAGCCTCACATGCTTCTTGGCTAGCTAGCAGCGGAGCTGTATTGTCGCGCGTTCGTTAATATAATTTCCGTCTCGCCCTGTCGTATATACTTCGCGAACCTTACGGTTTTGCTACGTTGTCCTGTGACATAGAACTTTGACCAGCCGTCCGTGTGTTGTAACACGTGTTTCGGTTAAACATTGTTGAATTTGATTGGAATTGGAATTAACTTGAATATAATTGACTTGACTATAAATAATAAGTGATAAGCGAACATAATTTCCTAGACTCTGAAGTGTTTTCGGTGACTGCTTGCCCCTTAGATGGATCTCATATTTGAATAGAGGTGAAGCCTTTGGATCTGATGTTCTGCAACCAGTGGGGAAGTCAGGTTACACAATATAACACATACTGATCATAACACAATCACACACATACTACACATACTATTACACCTGAATCTTCCTATGGTTAACCCTACTTCGACGGAAAAAGGTAAGTTTTGTTCTCTTCCTTGTTAGCCGATATATCTTAATATTCCACAGGTCGTTTGACCCTCCCCTTGTCTACTCGTCTAGTTGGACTCCTATGGGCCCGAGTTCGACGACCTTTGTCAGGGTAGCCTGCGGCAGTAACAAACGCCAAACTTCTTCGTAGAAAAGTAGTCTCTAAATATAAGTTTTAATGGTTCTAAGTGTTGCGGTTGGGTGCGGTCAAATCCGACCGCTTGAATTTTGACAGAATAGCGCCGCGTTCGGATTCGACCGCTTGGGGACTGAGAGGTTAAATTACAAAAGTAGTTTAATAGTTTTATTTAATAGTTTTAATAATATGGCAGAGCCATACTATACAGCATATGGCTGCAGAATGAATGGATCATGACCTACCCTGGGAAGGGATTATGTTTTCACAGAATACCAGTGAGAACATATAAATATATAAACACTCACGCCTGTCACCCAAAGGGGTTGGCAGAGATTATGAACTTCCATTTGGCATGAGTCTGACATAACTCTTGCCTCCTTTATATCCATTTACCTATGCATACATGCTCGTCAGTTAAGGGTACTCCTAATCTGGCCCATTTTCAATATATCACTGTCAATAAACTTTTGTCTAGGGTGTCCCTTTACAACTGAGAAATAAGTGTGTTTTTTGTGTTTAAGTACTAAAGACCCATTTTAGAGATAACAAGGCATTTTCATCAATATTCATTAGGCATCATTCTCAGGAGTGAGGGCATTTGAATCAAAGCTCTTAATCAAAGGTAAATGTAGGCGTCTATGGGCCATCACTTACCATCAGGTGGAATGTGTGCCTGTTTGTCACCCTGATTATTAAAAAAAAAAGTTAGACACGGACCATCTTTCATTTTTGAGAAAGTTGAGCAGGAAGGATGGACTCTCCTCACATATAAAGATTTCTTAACAATGCTAAAGGAATCAAAGTGTTGTTATGGGCATATGTGCTTTGTTTCTTTATAACATTATCATAGTATAAATTCGCATGCCTGTCACCCAGATCATAGATGGCAGAAACTAAAGACTATGGACTTCCATTTCCCACAATTCTGACATAGCTCTCTTCCCTCTTTTGCGTCCATATATCCCTAATTTGGTTGATTAACTTCCATCAGGGCATCCCTTGCCGAATCTTCCACTCCTGCAACATCACTTTGTCGCTCTTGCTTTATAAATTCTTTCTTTGTTTCCAATTCATTGAAGCATTCTTAATTCTGGTCAGAAGATATTTCTACAAACCACACTTTTCTTATCACTCAATTTCTTACCCTATCATTCAGAGTTACTCCTAACAAATTTTTTAATAATTGCATGTCTACAGCAATAATTTTATTCTAATGCTACTTCTGCCACATCCAACTTTCACTACCATTTATTAAGGTTGGAATGAATGCTGTATCGTGACTTACCATAATATGTGACCTACTTTTTTAGACATATTTTTTTTGTATTTAGCAAGGAACACACACACAAAATAAAGTATTTGGACAACAAGAAAGGTTTCCACAGGTCAGAGGTATGCAACAACAAGTCTATGGCTCTCCAAAAGATCAGAGCACAAGAAATACAACTTCAAATTTGATTACGGTTAGTACCAAAAATTTCATTTAAACATATTTTACTTTAAACTAATGTTGATTTTGCGTCCATGCACCATGACCTGAGATTCATGTCTAATTAGACTGTACAAGCTATGTACATATACCCCTATGCACAAGCCATGTATATATACCACAAGCTATGTACATATACTTTGTACATACTTCTTCATGAAGTTACGCCATGACGTTCACATGTTCAATTTTGAAAATATATTTTTAAAATTATCTATTGAGTTTAATGAGGAGATTCCATATTCAATGCTTATGATTTCTCTATGTGTAAAATTATTTTTTTATAAATATGAAGAATTCATTCTACCCGTATATGATTGGAAAAATAGGTGATGAAGTGTTTAGAGTAAATATTTAAACAAAATTCTGGTTGTTATCTTTTACTTGTGACATTCCTAAGCGACTTAAAATGATAATAATTAACTTTTTTATACAAACCAACTTTAAAAGCAAAAAATAATTAAACAATTTCCTCATAGTGGGAAAGTTTGGTTCAGACAACTTAAAATACTTTACATTGAAAATGTCATTTGATATAGGGCACACTGAAATGATCGGGAATAGAATATTTCGGATTGAGTTACAATAAAACCTTTTTTAGAATTTGAATACTGGACTCTTAGAATCTTTCACACAATTCAAACAATATTTTTTTTTTTTTTTTAAACAAAAACTATGTTGGTTTAAAATTCTTCAAAAACGATACGTCGTTAACAGAAATGGAGCTCACGCGTGAACATTTCCGTGCCATAATTTATCACAATTTTCGTCGCGGCTTATCTCAAGATAAAATATCTAAGCGAACTTGTTTCGATTTATGATGTTGAAGCACCGAGTCAAACGACAATATACCGCTGGTATGCCGAGTTCCGACGCGGACGTGTGTCGCTCAGCAATGGTTTTTCTGCAGGTCGACCAAGAACAGCGGTCACGCCTGAAAACATCGCAGCTGTGCGAACTAGTATATTAGATGACCGTCATGTGACATACGAGCAAATTCGGGCTGGTATCAGTATCGGAATGACTGCAATTCAGTCGATATTACATAATGAGCTGTGTGGAAGAAAGCTAGTTTCCCGCTGGGTTCCCCACAGTTTGTCCGAAGAGCAAAAGGCGGCTCGTGTAGATTGGTGCTGGAATACTTTGCAACGATTCAACGGAGGGAAGTCAAATGGCGTTTATAATATCGTCTCAGGTAATGAATCATGGATTTATTCATACGAACCTGAAAGAAAACATCAGTCAGCAGTTTGGGTCTTCAAAGACAAAGTCAAACCAACGAAAGTGGTTCGCTCCCGTAGCATGTCAAAGAAAATGGTCGCTACGTTTGTCTCGAAAAAGGGGCAGGTTGCTACAATTCCTTTACAGGAATGCAGAACAGTTACCGCTGAGTGGTATATCACGGTTTGTTTGCCAGAAATGATAGCCGAACTCCGAAAAAAAAACCCGAAACGTCGCATCATTTTACATCACGATAATGCGGGCTCCCATACGGCATGGAAGACAAATGATTTTTTGAAGCAGGAAAACATAGAGCTGATGAGCCATCCTCCATACAGTCCTGACCTGAGCCCAAATAATTTCTTTAAATTCCCTAGCATGAAAGATTTATTACACAGTCAATGGTTTGAAGACTCTGAAGCAGCTGTGGAAGCGTACAAATCGGCCATTTTGTCAACATATTTTTATTAATTTATTTGTATTTTATTTTATTTTATAGAATAGGCTGACAAACAAGCACAGTCCACCTGATGGTAAGTGGTTGCTGCGGCCCATAGACATCTACATCTATCTTCCATTACAAATCAAAATGCAGATGCGTTGTCACCCGTGAGGACTGAGATGGAATGCCTCATTTCCAGTAAAAAGGGTCTCCGGTTCTCTACAGTCACCATACGAAATACAGCAGCATTAAGCTACTATTTCACGCTGGTATTCTGTGAGAGCGTGGTCCTTCCCCGGTCGAGCCGACCCATTCGTGCTACAACTATACTACTAATATAACTGCAGCATGGCTCTACCACATACAAAACAACTTCAGACTGGAATTACTGTTTTAATGATTGGTTTGCACGAATGGAAAAGTGCATTAAATTGAACGGAGAACACTTCGGAAAACAATAAAATACAATTTAGCTATACTGTGCATGTGGTTATTCTTATTCCCGATCATTTCAGTGTGCCCCTCGTAACTGCCTTTTGTGTTGTATATTTATTTATTTAAATGTTGTATTATACTGTTTACAGCCCCAAAGAGTATCTCAAGGTAGACCACATGTGCTTACCAATGTAGAGATTATAGACCAGCATGCAGTCAGACAATCTGCTCAAGGCAGTAGATTTCAGGGCTACAACCCTCCAGATAAGCCGGTATGTATAGTTCAGTGTTTAGGATTGTAGAGTATGTTTAGATGTATGTTCTGTAAACTAAAGCTTCATCATAGGGCAACTTTAAAGGATCATAAAAATGCCCACTGTCCATCATCATCTACAGGGACCTCAATCCACACTTTCCCAACAGATTGCAAGTTTTGGAAACCATCAGATTTTTTAAATCCTTTAATTTTTGATGTAGTTACCATTAATATTTGAAAATTGAAGTTCTCTGAAAAAATCTGTTTGAAGCTTTTACAATATTTCTTCAATATTTTTGTAATAGTCGTAATTGTTTTGTTAATCCTATAATTTAAGTGTCTATTTTTTAACATCAGGTGACAATATTGAAAGACAACTTTCAAGGACCAACACAGCATAATGTGGGTCAGCCTAATCTTAATGTAAATTACCAAGGTCAGGGATATGGACAACAATGGTCAGCTCAAGTAAGAATACATATATATTTTAGTTACTGCTATCTAAACATGTATTGGCGTTGTAAGAATATCTACTACCGAATATCGTCCTGAGGGTGTCGTAAAAGTCGACAGAGGGCAAATGAAACAGTAGATGGGCAGCAGCATCTCCCTAATAAAAATTTGAGGTTGCCAACCTGCCTTCGAAGCATGGTACATATGGCAAAATTCCCCCATGAGACAATCTGAAAGGGTAGGCTTGCGTTTAGCAGTGGACTTTTATGGGTTATTATATATTAATTTTAAATTTAAATATTTAATTTCAATACCATTTGTACATTCAACACCCTCTTTAGGGTTACCAGCCATTTTCCTTATAAGCTTATATCAACTAAATAAATAATTTGATTATTGAAAAGAAAGTTTACACTTTATCAAAGTCTGTAACTTGGAATAATTAATGGTAAACATGGGGACAAACACAATATAACCACACTTGGATATGGAAAAGTGTTTTTACACAATCGCTAACACCGAACCTTCTAATAAAAGTTTAAACTCTCCTTTTTAAGGGCCAACCACAGAAAGTGGAACCGTTTCCAAAACACAGTCCATCGTATTTCGATAAATCTGGGCAACATGAAAAACTGCAAGTTTTTCATGACCAGGGTGGGCGAAGGTTTTCGCCACAACGTGATCAAATGACACCCGTGGTCGGGCGCAGAGTTTCGCCTGGGCGTAGAGTTACACCACCAGGACACAGAATTTTACCTCATGGGCGCGCAATTTCCCCTCCTCAGCGTCGAATTTCACCTTCTGGACGCAAAATGTCACCATCAGGGCGTAGAATTTCCCCATCATGGCGAAAAATCTCGCCATCTGGTCGTAGAATTTCGCCACCTGGACGAAGAATTTCACCAACCGGTCGGAGAATGTCACCGTCTGGTCGGAGAATGTCACCGCCTGGTCATAGAATCTCACCTTCCGGTCAAAGAATGTCACCATCCGGTCGAAGAATGTCACCATCCGGTCGAAGAATGTCACCATCCGGTCGAAGAATGTCACCATCTGGTCGAAGAATGTCACCATCTGGTCGCAGAATATCGCCTCATGAGAGAAGAATTTCACCACCAGTAAGAAAGATGTCGCCTTCAGAAAGAAGAATCACTTCACCTGGGCGAAAAATTCCTCAAGGTAATTTATTAATATTTAATTACTGTGCTATTTAACAACCTTTTTAAGTACACTCCTAAGTAACCCTTCCAGCAATTCTACTCAAACCAGTTCCGAATGTATAGAATTGTATTTAAACTCAAGGTAATTCAGACTCCTCAAATAAGAATTCTCAGGAATGCAAGTCTTCAGCTGCTAGATATAGTCGCATAATCATGTAAGAGGTTTGAGCCTACAGATGGGCTCCCAGACTGATAAAGAGTTCTCTCATTGAGTAAAATATTTTTGTAGTGGTTCCATATAAATTTTATCCCGACCGTGTCTTTCCATTTGTGTCCTTTAATGCCTTTAACAGTCCGGTGGACATGGGCCGTTTCCATGGTAGTGAACAGTGGCGAAGCTAGGGCTCCAAATTAGGGCAAGCCCAAGATATGGTTTTGTTGTTTTTAACAGTTTTATAAAAATACACCAAACTTGATCTGTCTCCACCCTTCAGTTTCATATTCAGTGCTGTCGAGGACGTATTTAACAAAGCACACAGAAGGCATACTAATGCTAGATAGATTGTATGACGTATTAGTGCATACCTTCGGTGGCTTTAAAAAAAGCCGTTTGGGTTTTATTGAGCGAAAGAAAAAGATATTTACATAATACAATACATGAACAAAAGAAAAGCATGAACAAAGTACAAATAAACCATGTACATAATTAAAAAAACAAATTATTTATATTCTAAATCGAATCGTCTCTCTTTCTTAAGGAAAGATTTGATTACGTCCGCGTAAAATGTTGGTGAACGTTTTAATTGTATTGTTTTTCAATTGCGATACTTGATAAGTCTGAAATATGCTTTTGACCTTGTGTATTTTCTCTACAAAGTTTAAAGATTTTACCTTTTTCTCCCGATTAGCACTTTAACACACTTCAATTCATCACAAGGAACACTATTATCCTCCATTTTCACAAAAATCTTTAAAAAAGCATACATTTTCAACTCGCAATATTCATTCACTCAAGTAAACAAACAGAGTAATCATTGAAATGTGAAGTGAACTTGCAAACGTATCGCCCGCGCGCCCCCGCACTCGACTTCTTCACACCGAAAGCTCGGCGTTTTGCTCTATTCTAATGGCTATATAAACATTTCGTAGTTATATTTCACCATAGAACATTTTGCACAGGTTGGAAGGGGAGCGATCGTCGTCTCGGAAGCCCGGTAAAAAGCCCACGCGTGTGAGAGAGACGACTAATCGCTCAACGCAACTCCTTTTTTATGATGACAGTAGTATCGCCAACGCTGCGAGTTCATGACCTGTGTAGAACAGAGGAGCGCGCGGAAAATTTAAAATAGTTTGAAACAGTTTACAAGTTATTTTATTAGTTGATATTATTGATTGAGCAGTCTGATAGGGCAAGCCTGGCTTCTCGGCTTGTATGGATGCTTCGCCACTGGTAATGAAGATTTAGTATAATCGTTTACACTTGACAGACATTGTCGATCCTAGTAAGAGACATTTCCCAACTTTGATACTGCTCCCCAGTCGCTTGTTTGTGTATTACACATCTGGTTAATACAATATATCTATACTGTAATTTATCTCTTCGGAAAACCTACAGAGCGATTGTGTAACGCTAGTAAGATAGGATTGCCAGTGAGAATCACTGCGCAATTGTGATACAGGGGCAGGGCTTCGGTCTCAGAGAATACCAGCATAAAATATCAGCTTAATATTGCTGACTTTCAAATGGTGAATTAGAGAACTGGAGATTGAAACGAGACATTTTATCTTAGTCCTCAGGGGTGACAACGGATCTTCATTTAGATCTTAATTGAGGATAAATGTACATGTCTACTGACCACAGCATCCACTGTGTGCTCTTTTGCCACATTTAATCTATAGATTTAAAAATAGCATTAAAATGAAACCTACCACAATCCTCAACTGAAATACCCAATGACACTGCTAATCTTGTGGTAATTTGGATTATTTGTATTTTTTTTATTATTTATTTATATATTACATTATCAGGCGAGAGACATGGGGGACATCGGTTGTCACCAAGAAGAATGTCGCCAAGCAATCAACCAATTACTAGAAAAATATCACCTGGTAGACGTTCGCCTAATCGTGGACATTCACCAAGGGGATATGATAGGTAAGTGAGAAAATTAAAATAACAGTACACATGTCACATTGCTAGGCATAGTTTTCCTCTCATTTATGGGAGTCTTATAGAGCAGAATTAGTTTTTCTTTGCCCCATATATTTCAAAATTTGTTCACGCTCTACATTTCATAAGAAATAAATTGGTGCTAATAAGTTGCAGCTAAAAATAAACGGCTTTAATTCAGGCAGGGCCTCCCTAGCTTGTCTAAAGTCTATTAGATTTTTCTGAAGCTGAGCGTGTAGATTAGTGGAGTTTCTATGTACCAGTGAATGAAAGTTACTTAAGGGGGTTGGTATTATTAGTTCCAGCTCTATAGTGTTCAGAGCCAATCCTCTGGTCAGTTTGTTTATTGCATCGTTGCCTCTGGATCCACTGTCTCCCTTTATCCATTGCAGACTCACACCATTATGCTTAAATACCTAATTTAATTGTTGATGGCATTTATATATTAGTCCCGAGTTCACCACATTTCAACTCAGGCCTTGTAGTAACTGCCATACTGTCGGTCAGTATTCTGATGGAGAAGTCTTTATACTATATCCAATATATCTATATTTATTATACAATATATCTATTATATTATGTTGTATAATATATCTATATATATTATACAATATATCTATATTTGTTGCTATGGCCGCTTGAATGATACCCATATATTCCATCTGAAATACTGTGTTATGGGTACCCAGCGGTGTATGTATGTGGATATTGAGGTCTTCAGAGAAAGTTCCAGATCCTTCACCTTCATTTGTTTTAGAACCATCCATGAAAACTAAGCTCTTTTGGGCTTAATCCCTCCAGCTGGCTGGTTTCATTTAATTGTATCTTATACTTATCAAATCCAATTTGTTTTGGGATCTTATTGTACTTGGCTTGTAAGATAGGAATTTTTGAGTAAATTCTATCAATTATACCTGTATTTAGGGACTCTCTCTTACTCTAAAGATGTTGGCAGCTAAAGTAGCTTCTTGTTGTATGTGTAGATGAAGCGGGGTAAGCTCCAGCATAGCTTCTAAAGCTGTTGTTGGTGTAGTTCTTATGCAGCCTGTGGCAGCCATACATGCCAGTCTCTGTTAATGCCTCTATAGTGGTGGCTTCATATGTTTTGGTCCACCATACTAAAGCTCTATATGTGATCATGGGCCGAATTACAGTTTTGTACAGCCACAGTATAATTTTACCCCACCCTATCGAGTGTAGATACATGATACATTTTTTGTATTCAGACTTAGCCTTCTTGTATAGTAGCCAGTCTTCATTCATTTAGGTATTTATGGCCCTATTTAGGGCTTACTTTCTTACGTTTCCTATCTAGTTCTTTACCCCACCACGGTTGCTTTACCTCAGCATGCCTTGGTAGAGTGATTTCTGGACATGATTCATGGTAGCTATCCACCATAGCTATAGCAACAGCTGCTGCCTGTTCTTCTAGGAGCGACAGGAGATTAGTTCGTGCTGAAGGCACGGCGAACAGTGGCGGATGCTTCCGTCTCGTTACGTAGCGGTTTGGTACACAGGGACTCAAGTGCTGCAAAACTCCCGGTTTATATTCTTTGCCCTGCAGTTATTTCATTACATACGTAGCAAGAGCAGTACTCTCGATGTACTTCTAATTTATTATATCCTACCATATCCAGTACAAAAAGAGTAGGATACACCCCGTAAAGCTTAAAATATAAGCTCCTCGTAAATTTATTTTGAATGAGCTGCATCATGACATGATACTTTTCTTCATACGGAGCCCATATGACTGCATTATGTTCCAGATGTCTCCTGACTAGTTCATACAGGACCTTTTCACAAATATTAGTAATATGAACGCAAAACGACAGTTCTGCACTAAGTAAAGCAAACCAAGATCACGCAAATGTTTTAATCTTTGTATTGTATCGGTGTTGCGCCTATCTTATACTCACAGAGAATAGGTTTTTGTACGCGAACATAACACTATCATCCGTTATTACGAGATATGTATAGAAATAGATACGACGTAAAATAATCCATTTCTTCATATCAGCCAGTGGCCTGTCGCCTCTAATGACAATAAGAGGAGATAAGAGGGAAATAAAAGTGGAGATGGGCCACGGCGGATAACAACTTAAAATAACAAAAAACTCTGCTGTTGCCAACTCATCTGCAAAGTGTGGCAAGGCAAATCTATAGGGCAATCTATGGCAGAGGCCTATTTACAGCAATTGACTTTTAGTAAGCAGTAATTATTGAACGAATGAATTATGTGCAAGTGAAGTCTTTCCGCGGTCGAGCTGACTGGCTCTAACGTATAACAATAAATATTTACAAAGAAGTAAAGCTACAGCCGTCCCACTGCTGGGCCCAGGCCTCCCCTTATTTCTGAGAAGATTTTAGATAGAAGACTTCACATGACTTCGAAAGATGTTTTTTAATTTTTCAGACATGCAGGTTTCCTCAGGACTTTTTCCTTTTTCGCGGAGCACGTAGTGTATCAGCACTTAAAATTACAATTATAATTATATTAGTTTCGGCGAGGATCGAACCTGGGTTGTTTCGGTACTGAAATTTATAACGGGCGCTTAGCCCCTTAGCTACCAAGGCTTGCAAAAATAAAACAGGTGGACTGGTAGAGAATACGTGTGTATATAAAGTTTTAAATAAATAAATAAATGTATAATGAAATAGTAAATTTTGTTCAGGTATTCGCCATCTCGTATTGAGAAGCAAATGGGTAACATACGCCCTGGTCCTGACAAGACCGTTCGGCCCGCCTACGAGCCCGTTTCACAGGTAAGTTATAGTACTTTTTTCGGTAGCTAAATATATTTAATTTCGAATCTTCTAAATAACATAATATAGTAACGACTTTTAAAAAATATTAGTGCGGGTGCGTTTTGGTCTGCCCTAACTGTAAAACTCCCACTTGCTTACTAACTGTAAGTTTGTTTTTTTATTTAATAAAAACTACAATTTCGATTTTAATGAAAACTTAATCACGTTTTCATTATGCAGTTGAGCGTCGAATAAAATCGGTTTGGAGACGATTTCATCGCTTTTTCTCGAGATATACGAGAAATGTTCACTAATGATGATTTTTTTAAATATGGATGGTGGACCTCGAAACGTTGAGATGTGTAGAAATTCGGACTCTGAAATGTCGGATCTTTTACAATAACTTCTAAATTTACTTACAAGGAAATATTTGTTATATATACTTACGAAAATAGTTCCAACATACAGTTTATGAAGTTTTTCTTTATAAATATTAACTTGCATCTTCTAAAGGGTAACACATAATACAAGGAGAGTTTTAAAAACATACGACATCAAGGTATTGTATGAAGTATATCTACAGTGAAAAAAAGCAATTAGATAAACTGTCACTCGTGGGAAGAATACTGTCGTCATACACTAAGCAATGGGATTTACTATGAGCGCGATAATACCTAAAGCGAGTCTTGGATCGAACTCTGCATGATGTACAATCAACCAAATAAAACAGTTTTTGATTTCCTTGCTTTATCTCGCGATATGTTTAATACTTCAACAGAAACTAAAATTTCACAACACTGAAAGAAAGAAAGTAACGCGTTTATTCCAGTTGAAGCATGCATCACAACACGCAAGTAATTAATTATATGCAAAAAGATAAATAAAACGAAATATTTACCAACATTATAAATTTAAGAAAATACACTTAAAAATAACCTTGTGCTGCACCCACAGAATACGGAATAGTACTAAGTACTGCAGCTTGGTACTGCGAAAAGGACTGGTCTCAATTATAGCACCGGTTTTCAGTCCGGCCCATACCCAGGAAACTCGGGTGGCTGAGTGTACGCTCGCTCTTGATGAATCTCACAATCGAAATTAAAAAATAAAACTGCAAGAGCTATAAAAAAGCTTGCGGTTTGGTACTTAACTTAAAAAAAATGCAGTTGATACTTAATAAAATAAGTAAAAAAAATTCAGCCAGCAGTAAAAATTGAAATTTAAATACTGTGATTTTTTTGGCTCTCCTTGCTCTGAATCAACGAAAAATAGCAAGTCTATTTAGTACTTCAAAGGAACATATTGCATACATTTTCATAACACAAACGATTCATTTCTCAAATGAAGAAGATGATGAAGACGTGTGTCAATCATGAATGATTCGTTCGTTTGATCTTGTACACTTAAAAGTATTGATGGTTCAATTCATCTGTTTTTGAATGTTCCGAAACAACCAATCACAAACAATTGACGGAACCTTTTTAACTCGTGATTGGTGTGAATTGTGAATGAGTCGAAAACCGACCGAATCCCGAATGATCTGAATGAATTGTTTTTGCTGTAGGATACTGGAGCCTGAAATGATCCATTTGAATGGCATGTGACGAAATGTACTAGAATGATTCGGTATATACGGTATATACGTACAGATATGCTCTTTCCTTTCTGATAGGTGGCGAAATAAGTATCACTCTGAATTCACCCTGGACTTTTGAGCCTGTGAATACAAAATTTACTAATAATTCCACGGGATTAGTGAACAGCGTAACAAAACAATATTGCATGAATATGACATCAATCGGTCAATTTGTGCGTGTTGTTTGGGAAAAATTGATGATAAAGAAGTTTTTAGTCCAGCCAGCAATTGAAAAATTTCAGTGTTTATTGTTAGAATAAAAGGATAAATCATTATGTGTGTGATAACAAAACAATAATTAACTTAATTGGAAATAAGACCTTATTCATATCCTTCTTACCCAGAACCAAACAAATGGGCTCTAACTTCGACTTAATGGAAAAAAATCAACTAAACTCATAAATTTTGCAGTGGATATGTCTAAATCTGTCACGAAGACGCTACAGACGCCAGAAAAAATATAGGTGTAGTTTAGATAAAAGAATAAGATAGATATTGAAATAAAAATTGGCTGATACTGTTAAATATTAAAATAGAAAATAGAAGAGAAAATAAATAAACGGCTTTCAGAGATTTTATGCTAATCTAGAGAAAAGTCATCGTGACTAAAAATAACGGTTGAACACGATTACTATCGACGGATGCTACGAAAGTAATAGTACCCTTAATCGACGAGCCTACATGCTCGTAACGGATGTTTACGGATGTAAAGAAGGCGAGAGGTGTGTCAGGATCGTGCCAAATGGAAGGTAGTAGTCTGTCTACCCCTCTGGGTGACAGGCGTGAGTGTAGATGGTAATACTACGCCGAAGTTAGATCGCGTTTATTATTGTCAACTATTTCACAATCATGTTGCTACTGATGTAATTACAATTTTTTTGTTAACACTAACCAATTTACTGCATAATCCTGTTTGCCTCGGAAATCTGGAGTTTGAAAATTCATATTTGAAAAAATAGATTCAAACAGTAGTGTTGATTCATAAAACCCTATAAGTGTCGCTGTCCTAAAAGAAATGTTTGACAAACTGATCTATACCTAATGATTTTAAAATTATAACGGGACTTGATTTTAATATACGTACTGGCTTTTTTCTTAAATTCATTGCTATCTAATAAAAAGCTTTGCAAAAGGTAAGAGTAGAGGATACGTATTAGTGCTTCATTGAATTGATGTCATTAAGAAAGCTACCGGGATGACTATTCCAAGCGTTGTCGAATATGTGTCGAGAAAATTTTCTTGGCGAAACTCAAATCTAGAAATGCAGATGACTAATATCCGCCATACCGAAGAAATGAGGAGATGCACACTTGCAGGGAAAGACGTCATTAGCGAAGATACCAGAACAACGGTAGGACGACGTGGTCGTACGTATTTCGGACTAGAAAACGCACCTGCAATTAAAGGACGTCATTAGCGAAGCAACCGGGACTACACAACGACGACGTGTTCTTATGATTTCGGACTCATCTGGCGATGCTCAGTCAAGCTAAAAAGACTGATTATTATCCGTGATCAGGAAATACTTGTGCAATTGACGGAAATGAAGCAATCAAGACTAAACTATAAATGGACATTTGTTTAGGTCAGTACATAGGTGATGGTGATAAGTATATAAAATTAACATTCCATAGCCATAGGGATAAGACGAAGAAGAAGCAACGAAATACGTACATATAGTGGATAATACGAATTTATGTTGAATTTTCCTAAAAATCTATAGTTATATGTGCGGAAATGAATTGTTGCGGAGATTAAAAATGGCACATGAATTTCGTTGCGACGTACGTATTCGTTTATGAATACCATATTCCTACATATAAATATAATGTAAAAGAAAAATTTTAATATATATAAATATACAAGTTATGCTAAAGCTTACAGAACAATATACAACTTACTTTATGCAGCTGAATTTGTGGAGATATAAATAAAAAAATCAAACAAAGTTAGTTAAATTTTCTACTAAAAGCACGTGTGTCCAAAAGATGTTTGTACAGTCACATAATGAAGAATATTGATAAGAGTTTATCTTAAACCGGCAAGTTCAAAAGAAATTAGAAAGATAGATAAACAGATGATTCTTTCTTGCATTCACACCTAACAATTAGTGGTTTAAAGCTATATTGGAAATTGGATATATTGGAATGTAGTTGGACGTGATTTCTAGGTGTATTGGAATATAAGATATTGGGGATATCTGCTGTTTATTTTTAGAATTTTTATGTGTGCTTTTTTTAGGAATTCTAATAATGTGATCTTAAGTATTTTTTACATCTTCGTTAGCATAATGTATTATAATTCTGTGTTTAAATTGCAATATTCACCATTTAAAATCGTTGAGGGCGCCTGGCACGAGGTTTCGACAACAGAATAGTAAAAAGTATTTTAAGTATAATATTAGTGGATCAATGACCATCTTTATAATATTTTTTCTGTTTTCCAGGACTGTATTTTAGTGTTTGCAAGTAAAATTTTGATTTTCAGGCGCAAAGTCAACCCATGTATCCAGGTGGTTACCCTCCGAATGCCCGTGAAAACGTCCAATACCCCGTATCAGGTCCACGTCAAGGTGATCAACGGCCCACGTGGCAAGACAGAGAGAAACCTTATACGTCATCAGGGAAACCTGATGGTGATAGACGAGATGTTACTAGGGTGCAGAAATTTGACGGGCCAAGGGAATACCCAAGAGGCCTGATGAACCTGCCTGAGACAAAAATTAGTTCACCAAGTCGTATGTCCCGTTCTCCAACTCGAAGAGACCGCTCACCTATCAGAGATCGGTACAGAAGACATTCACCTTCTCCACGTTCTCCACGTCGTTCCTGGGCTTTAGAAAAGCGACGTAGTCCTGAAAATCATGAAGCACCCCCGCCACCATCTTGGCCTATACCAGAACGACAGGAACCCCCTTACGTAAAGCCAAGTCATCCAAATGAAAAAAGAACTGGTAACATAGCGGTTTGGGATAAACCGTATGAAACCAAAGTTAATCCACCATTTCCCCGCAAAGAAGAACATCTTGTTCATGAACGCGAAGACAGAAGATACTTTACTAGTCCAAGTCGATCACGTTGGGATTTGCCGCAAACATCTGCAGCGCCCGATTTAAAAGGACCACACAGGGAACCATCTCCAAGGCAGTTCAGACACGGTGATCGGTATCCGCAAAGTCAACGGGAACCAAAATTTTCTTCCCGTGATGAATATGAGTCACAACATCAAAATGAATTTCAAAAGCAAGGGTTTCACGAGCGTGATCACCATGTGGACCGCCGTGATTCCAGAGACATAATAAAACAGGATATTGACAGCTTGCGTCATAAAACCGACGTACAACACAGAAGAGATGATTACCGTCAACGGTTTGACGAAAGTAAAAGTGGTTTGCCAATCGGGCCGGATCTTAACAGAGAAATAGAAGATGTCTTCAAGAGAGCCGCAGAACTCACGAAGAAAACCGAAGAATATCAAAGAAAAAGAAGTGAGAAAAGTACAAAGGATCGCAACCGTCATGTGATGGAGTCGAAAGATTCAAGGATCACTGATCATCATCGGACGTCCAGTCCCTCTAGCCGCGACTTGTATGCCACTACTGAAACTTTATATAATAGAAACCAGGGGCACCCTCATGGGCCTCGCAATTTTGATCTAAGTGCCAAAATCCAGTACAAAAGGGATAAAGCAGTCGATGAAATTACGGGAAAAATGATGCATAAATTTGCTCCAGATATTAAAGGAAAGATTAGAGATGAAGTGGAAGAGCTTGTGAAGTTATCTATAGAGAATATGGTTTTTGAAATGTTTGGCGACAAAGATGTCTCATTTATAGAAATCGTCATTAAGTTCGAGGATAGGTACAGAACCAAAGATTTGGAGCAGATATTTGATAATGTTCTGTCAGGATTTCCGGCAGAAATTAGGAGGATGAAACGGTCTGCACCAGGTAAGGGGCTCTTTTTTGCGCTTAAGTGAAAAAGGTGTATTTTTCTTATGCGAATGTGTAATTTTACACTTGGTATCTAGGTTTAAAATGCTATATTATCTTGTAGTAGAACATAGGAAAACTAAATGAAAATGTATTTGTATGATATGATTTCTGTGCGTAACAAGATAAACGTACATCAAACACTGCAACGCATTTAACGATGTAAAATATTTATGAAAAGTTTGCTTCCTTGATTTTTTTCTGTTGTTGCCTTTAAAAAAAATAGGTTACGTAGATACGAAGATATCATTTAGGCAATGTTATTCATACATTAACCTGATTAACCATTAACCTCCCATGTCTAAATAAAACTAAAACAAATTTTCACTTTATATTTTTTCATGTTTATGTTGCAGCTTCCTACCCGTGTTTCAAACAGCTAGAAAATTGAAAGAATTATAGTGATTCACATGACATTTAATAATGCCGCTAATCAAACGCCAGCGTTTCTTAAAGTATTTTTTTCTTACAAAACAGTGACAATAAATGATGCAATTCTTACAGAAAAAAATTTTGTGCGTGCGTGCGTGTGTGCGTGAGTGCGTGCGTACGTGGGGTGGTAGTGTGGTTGGCGTGCGTGCGTGCGTGCGTGCGTACGTGTGAGTGCGTGCGTGCGTGCGTACGTGAGTGCGTGTGTGCGTGACGACCTAATTACTTACAGTATTAGTGATTACAAACATGTCAGTACATGCAGCAAGGACGCGCGGGGAAGTGGGGGCGAAATTAGAATTTGAGCTGAGTTACTATATCCCCTTAACTACTAATTTGTAGCGGAGCGCACCTATTATACTAAATAAGTAGTTACAAAAAAATTGGTGCGGCGCGGCGTCTGTGCGCCATTACTTACGTTACGACTGCAGTTGTTACCTATTAGGCATGCGATTGGCGCCGATAGAAAATATAAAAATAAACGTAGTTACATTAAATACAGTTTGTTTGACGAGAATTGAAATGTCGTTTATGACACTAAAAACGTAAATTGATCAATTTGAGCACTTTAAAATAAAATAAAAGTTACAATCTTAACGAAACAGTCTTATATTAATTAGGTCAAAAATTTTCTGGCGCCAGTCTGTTACGTCGTTGGTTAGTTTACATACCTGCTTTAGAAAAACGCGCTCGGATCGCACATTACATAGCGGCGGATTGCAGTGTGCGTACAGTTAGTTGGTCGATTGTTATTCTAATAATCATGGCGAGGAACTACTAAATCGACAATCGAATGCGCAATAGCACAATTTTCAATTCAGTCGATTGTTTATTTTTTTGCAACAATCGCCCATCGTTAATACGAAACTCGATGAAACAAACATATACATCTATAGGATTTACGAGGGCGACACTGAAAGTTTTTAGAACTGGCCACTTGTAAATGATATAATAAAAAAGTAAGTTCAAATTTTGAAAATGGAACTCTTTGCCAATATTATTATGTATTTTGAATTTTGAAAGTTATGATAGATTTCGAGTGGCCTTTCACGATGAAGCCCCATTTCGTACCACTGTTTACAACTGGTTTAATGAGTTTACACGTGGTCGCACTAATCGCACCGATGATGTGCGTGTGGGACGGCCTTCTACGGCGACGACTGAAGATAACAAGTGTTGTGCGGCGTATGATAGAGACTGACAAAAGAGTGACTTATTAGCAGATTCGGCCAAGCTTAGGCATCGGTATGTGTCAAGTGCACAAAATCCTCTATGAACATTAGTCAGGAAGCTTTATGCCCAGTGGCCCAGAAACTCCGTCGTGTTGATTGGTGTCGTGAAATGGTTCAAAGATTTAACGGAGGTGACTTAAATGCCGTGTTCGACATACTTACGGGTGACGAAATCTGGATTTATTGTTATGATCCTGAAACTAAGAGACAGTTTGCTGTCTGGGTGTTTCTTCCGAGCAGTTATGAACTAAAGTGAAGAGAGGTCGAAGCGTGGGAAAAAATGGTGGCGTCGTTCTTCAGAAGAGCAGGTCATTGCGCAACAATTGTTTTAGAGGATCGAAAAACAGTTACTGCAGATTGGTACACTACACTAACAATTGTATGCCACTTGTCTTGGAAAAAATTCGGGAGAAACGACCTCGCAGTAGGATCCTCTATCACCTTGTCGCACACCGCCAAGCAAACAATCGACTACTTGGCGACGTCAGACGTGGAATTACTGGGTCACCCGCCCTATAGCCCCGACCTCACACTTTGCGATTTTTATTTATTTCCGAAAATAAAAGAAAAACTTCGAGGAAAACGTTTTATGGACGCCGAGGAAGCAGTGGCTACGTTTCATAATTCCGTCGAAGAGACCCCTAAGGACGAGTGGGCAAAGTGCTTTTCTCGGTGGTTCCATTGGATGCAGCGATGTATTGATGTAAATGGACATTATGTTGAAAATATATAATAGAACTAATAACTTGCAAGTTTGTCCAGTTTTTGATTTTCTAAGAACTTTTAGTGTCGCCTCCGTACCCTGCGAGAAAATGAGACAGAATGCAATAAACGGTGTTTATTGTAAATTTATTTATTTTAATTACATAATTCCTAAAATTATTCTACTCTTGTAACTGCATTCGTCTCATTCGTCCGAAGTTCAATTCTATCGTGTGTGATCTGCATAAATTTTTTCTCTTAAAGTAGTTTATTACGCGGCTAAAAACAATCTTATGGACTTACAATCGATGCCGAAAACGATAATAATTTCGGCTATTCAGGTACTTAACGTTGGTCAGCCCTGTTTTTTAAAACATTTAAATCGTTTTGACTAAGATTTGTATTCAATTAGCTGATCATCTTATTTTCTGACTGATCAAAACATTAAGCTGCAATGTAAAATTCTGTTAGGTTTTCCAAAGTGAACATTTTTTTCTTATATTTATAAGCTCTTATTGCAAAATATGTCGTTTCGTTGGCAATCCTTTCAACCAGTTACTTTTATTATCCCTGGATTGTACTAAGTAGTTTATTTTTAATATATTTATGTTCTCTCTATATTTTACATTTAGTACACGGTCAAGGCACGAGATTTTATTCAATAAATTAAGGTGTAATGACCAAGATAGTAAAGATATATTATTTAAATCTAATTAAATATGTTTTCTTTTCTAATATATCCGATTGCTTACGGTCATCAAATAATCAATATATTTTGCATCTACATTTCAGATGAATCGCATATTCCTGCTAAAAAACAAAGGCGTTCTCGTAGCCCCAACATGAAAAGAGGTACAAATATATATATTTTTCTGTCTTTAGCAATATAATAGTTCGTAACTTAAATAAATAAGAATTAATATTCCTCCAAATCACTTAACCTGCTTTTTACGTTACATTTACAGCCTATATACGTCCCACTGCTGGGCACAGGCTTCCCCTCATTCCTGAGAGTGTTTAGGGCAAGGAAATGTCCGCCGCGCAGCCCAAATGCGAGTTGGTGAACTTCACATGTCTCCGAAAAATTTTGTTTTCTTATATCTCAGATAGACGTGATCGTGACAAAATCTGTCAGAGATTCTCAGACAGGTTTTCTCATGATGTTTTCCTTCCCCGCCGAGCACGTGGTAAATCAGCACTTAAAATTGCAATAAAAAAAATTATTGGTGTCGGCGGGAATTGAACTTGGGTTGCTCGCGTTCTTTGAAATTTACAGCGAGCACTTAGCCAAAAGATTTAAACATATTCCGTTTGTTTTTTTACTTAAAAAAATTATTAAAATAATCTGTATTTTTGTTATTAATGATGGATATTTTCTTCTTCTGCTATACGGAGGATTTTTCTTAATCATTACGCTTGCCAAACGGCTTGAATATCGGAGTACCACAAAAACTTGATCCTCATTAAATTAATATTTTCTATCTTTACAGATATGATCGAACCACCTGTGGAATCTAGGCGTAAGTTAAATTTTTATCAAAAATCAATAATTTACTTATTCATTAACCTATGTGTTTAAAGTCGCAGTTGTTTGATGTTATGTTATTCTTTGAACCGCAGTTTCAGATTGGAATTTGAATTTTGGAAATATGATTCCGGCGCCGACATTAATTCAACAGATGCCCGTCATGGCACCAGTTCCGATGATGGTTCCAATGCCGTATGCGATGAGTCAACCTGAGCTCGATCCTATGATGCCGCAAGAGGGGTATCAATTGTTTCTGTGCAAGGACAATTTTCAGGCTTTCAACGAAATGCAGGCGGACTATTTAAAGGACTTTATCGTTCGTAAAATAATACAGGCGACTGAGTCTTGTAACGCTTGGGCACCAGATTTAACGCTAAGAGGACTGCAAAACGAAATACGCTACGAGATCTGGACTCGCGATGAACAATCTAAAGATTGGCTGTTGAACATGGATTTCAATGATTTCTCCTTCTTTAATGTATTGGTTTATACGTCCGAGGAGCTTTGGCACGAGCGCGCGGCTATTTGGCTTCCGGATCATCCGAGAAAGCAAATAATGCCACCGTTGGACAAGCTGAAACTGCAAAATCGATTCTTGACAAATGTCAATATCGATAAGTGGAAGCTTGTCAAGCAAATAGTTACCGAGAAAGGGACCAGGTTATACGTCGACATGCCGCCGTCTTCGGCTCGCGCTCTCGAAACCCATAAAATGACTTTAAGCTACGAACTATCGAAAGTTACAGTTTTCCTTAAAGCGGCTGCCGTTGATAAAAATGCATTCGACGCTGGTCTCGATGAAAAATCGGTCACGGTCACACCGGATCTATACAAACAGAATACACCAATGCCAGCAATCAATAGCCACGATTCAAACACAGTGAAATTTTGTTTGTCTGGCAACACTCCCATAAATCTCGCAACAGCAAGAAGAATTAAGGAATCAATAATTTATAACATGTATAAGTATCTACAACAGGGCGGAAGAAGCAAAACTGATTTTCTCAAATACGGATTCTGTAAGCCAGGCTACTTTTGCGTAATTCCAGAAAACGAAGAGTCAAGAAAATGGCTAAATGTAATGCACTTTGGAAAAATTAATCAACAATTTATCACTGTTTATGGAGCTGATAATAGCAATGTTAAATACATATCCGTAACGATGTCTTTGCCCTGTGAGCCAAATTTGACACCCAAAAACGTTTTAGAGAAGCTGAAATTGAGTAATCGTGGTGTTATAGGTCTGAAATTCCATTTATGGAAGAATGGCTTTATTTCCGCACAAAAGAAAAGGATGACATACAGTGTTGATGTGGACTTGGAATCAATAGAGACTCTTGTCAACCTTAAATTAATTTTAGATTATTCATATAATAATCGTAACGAGACAGTTTTCGTAAAATCTAAACATTCTGTGACACAACTAAAAGAAATTGTAAACCAACATAGAGCTGCATTAGATGACAAGCAAGAGGTAGTCAATATGGATATATCAACATCGGATGACGAAAGTGTAGTCTGTTTAGATTGAGACATCCCACATTTAAAATTGTCATTATTCTTACATTAACCATAATTTTAAGTATAAGTTCACTGGAAAGTGAAATTTAGTAATAAAAGTTTCTAGTTTTTCTCCCAAATCATTGTTTTTTAACATTCTCAGCGACAATTTTATTGAAGTGAAAACTTCTTTAGCGGCGTTGTACACTTTTTTTGTAATGGGTAAAAAATGTTAAACTCGCGTCAGGACACGTGACCTGATCGAAAATTCGTAAGACGGACGGCGTAGGAGAGGAAGTATCCCCCTCTCTTTCTACGGCGCGGCAAAAATGTATGCCTGCGCCTGCTGTTTCCTTTAGGCGGCGCAGGGCGGTTGCGCGAATGTAATATAAATTGTCGTTTGTGTACGATAGCGCAATAAATAAATATTGTATTCTACCACGTAAATGCTTACTATTACTTACTATACTTTTATACTGATAATTAAAGCAATTCGTGCAAAATTATTCCCTATCCATTCCAAAATATCAAAAATGCACAACGTTAATATTCAAGTTTTCACTTCTCACACTCCCGGAGTGCAACCCGTCGTTTTTTTTATTTATTTCCTATTTTGGTATTACGGCCTGGCCACGGGGATCGGCGGCGCGAACGGCGAAGCGACAGGCGGGGCGATAATTGGCGCGGCGCGATTTGAGGGCCACGGAAAGTCACGTTTGCCTCCGCGACCAGATAGGCCGAGAGTGAAATGTCTTTATCAAAGTTATCTCGATATTGCTTAGAAAGTAATTGTTTTTTGATTCAAGACATAATATTTGGAAGAGATTGCGGAGTACATGATTTGAATAGGAATTGGGTTATAGATGGAGAATTCCACAACAAATAGAATGCATCTAAAAAAAAATTTCGAGTAAATACCAAAATGAGTTTCGAAACCTGCGATTATATTCTTGTTAATATTCAACCAGAATTAGAGATAAAAGTCAATGCGGATAGAATTTTAAGTTGTTTTTGTCGGCCCGGCATTTTTCGCGGTGAAAACAACTAAAATATTTTGTTCCCTTATACTATTCGCCGGTTTTCGCCGCGTCTGCCGTCCGACTCCGTGGCTTGCACCGTACTGATTCATACATTTGTTTCATTCGCCCGCCGCGCCGCCAGTCGCCCGCGCGATTCGCCGGTAAATTTCGCCGGTCGCGTCGCCACTCGCCGCTACGCGTGGCTTGATCCATACATTTCTATACAATTGTTTTAGTCGCTAGACGCCTCGCCGTTCGCGCTAATTTTCGCTACGGCGAATGTCCCGTGGCCAGGCTGTTAGACGTGGAGTTGCGGAAAATAACTCGTTGTAATCTAATTTAAACCGCTGTCCAAACTATTTAAGGTAAACTGCTAAAAATTATCCCAATGAGGATGCTTTCTTTTTGCCTTCGAGAGGTGAGATAACGCACCTGAATCTTTTTGTTTTATGTTTGTTAAAATTACTCATTGGCTGGATTTTCCGCTTACTATTAGGTTAACTGAAAGCTTTGTCACAATCATGGCAATATATTATTTCAATTTTTCTACCTAATAATTAACTAATACCTTATTTGTGAGAAATAATCAAGGGGGATTATTTCACTGGAAATGATAGCTGTTTAAACTTCACCTCAAGTATGTCGTTTAATAGAAGATCCGCATTGTAATAACGAATTTTTAGTAGTCGTTTCGGTTCTTTAAGCTTTTTTTTTAAATCTTGGCAAAAGGACATGTCGCTTGTTCAGCATGTGGTTTTGATTCTTTAAGCGTTTTTTTTTTAATCTTGGCAAGAGGACATGTCGCTTGTTCAGCATGTGATTTTGATTCCGGAAATAAAGTATATAACAGATTGTTGTTATACAATAAATCATTGTGAAATAAAACGGTTTCGCCTGAGGCTTGCTGATTTATTAAGGTAAGCTATGGATAGGTGTTAAATTGAATTGTATATCTATTGCTTTATACGACGTTTGTAAAGGGGCAAATCTAAAACGGAAAACTTCACGAAGTGGGGGATTTGAATGTACAGCAAGAACTCTCTAAAACGAACGTCGCATTATTGACACATTGCATTGTCTATTTCTTGTCATGTTTTATTTTTAAGAGTTGCAGTTTGAAATAAAGAGGCTGTGGCTGAGGAACAAATTTCGACATTCGCCGCTCGTTCACAATGTTAACGAAGAAACTTTCCTAAAAAACATCTGACGGCAGTGCTGTTGAAGTATCGGCATTCATCTAAAGGTAAACAGTGGTTGCTAATACCACCTTTTTTTTCAGCTGACGAACACTAACTATTCAAGACATGGCCGACCGGCAAACGATTTGACATCCAAGTGTTATCTAATAAGTTTAAACTACTTCCATGTAGTTTCCGGTATGTATAAATACGTTTACTCCAGGCACTGTTCTTGGGCGGCGTAAAACATTGTATTGTCGGGGCTGCCTACAATACTTAAATTAATACTACATTTCTCCATAGTTCTAAGAATTATCACATCAAAGGTAAGCGCCAGAATCTGGCAATTTTTTTTTGTATTTCAGCGGGTAGCTGCTTTAGACACTTCAAAATCTCGTTTAATGAATGTTCAGTCATTTCAATCCGTAAGTAGAGTGAGTTCCGCTAAACCAGTTTCCTTATGATTTCCACCCGGGGTTACAACATCTCTGATGGTTGTTTACTGACTAATGTTTCACAGAGTCATATGTGTTTCATCAACATTTTCTACCAGGGACGAGAAGATATTACCTCCTGCGATCGATGAACGCGTTCAAAATTGTTAATCAATTAATCATCAAACTGCTAATTATATTAAACACTGCTTCTATTGGTTCAAAATTTTCCAGCTGTGCTGTAGATTCAAACTATCATTATTAATATTTTAATGGCTTGTAGCCATTTTAATTCATCCTTATTATCACAAATGTTTTTAAACTATCAAACCAGCAAGAATTATCTTAAAATTCTTATCAACAAATAATAACTAACTGATGATATTTTATTATTTGCTCGTATGTGAGCTTAAGATCTCCTTGCGTTTTATTTATTTAAGAAAATATATAATGTCACCAATTTCTGAATATCATTTTTCTAATTTCTTTTTAAATAAAGATGTATGCTATAATTTTTCAGACAATGCCATCAAGTAGTCCTCAGTTTTTCGCGTTGAGTGCTATTTCAGGTGAACATGGGTCATAAATCCACTATGCCCTTGCTTTTATAAAACAGAATTCAGCATGGCTTACAAATCTATTATGCTTTAGTTTAATTTATTTTGCTTGCAACAGCCTGTTTTTCGCAGGCAGGAATAATGCAACCTCTGCGAGACCTCTGAGAGGCGATCCAGACGCGCCGAGATGCTTAGCACGTGGGTTGATGTTTCTTCTTCTCCCATGCAAGTGCTGTATGGGGGACTGTTTGTAACACTTATGGTAAACAGAAGCTTGTTAAAAGAACCATGTGTCGTAATAGTACTTGTTACTATCGAAATCTAGAATTTGTTTAGTTTTGGTAGTCTTCGTAACAACGCCTTGAATATGCGGCCATTTATTACAGACGGCTTGTCTAGATTGTGTATCATAGTTTGTCTTTAACATGTTGATCGATGAAGTTCTTACGTACATGTACATATGATAGAATTAAATTTTATAATCATTTTGTGCTCTACTAACTTTCGTGCATAATGGTGTTTTCTCGGTTGACCATTGTCGAACGGTTGGGTGTTTTCAGAAGAGTGTTATATTTAAATGTCGACATAGCTGTGAAACCAGACAAGTGAACAAGTTATCAAAATGACATTATTTTTCCTTAAAGGTTTATCTAATATATAAAATGTTGATGTACTTTAAATAATCCATTTCATTCATGTAATCTACTTTGGGTTAATAGATGTTCACTCTTTCAATGGGTAAAAAATATTACTAAAAATAACACATTTATTTCAAAAGTAGCTTTAAATTTAGTACATATTTCTCAGGAATCATGTCATCGAGGCCGCCCAAGCGTATGCCTGTTAGTGTCGCTCCAAGGCCCAGAAGGATACAGCCGATGAGGAGAGCAGCCACTATGAATAAATTCGACACAACGAAAAGAGTCGTTCCAGCGGCAACTTTCATCCCACCGAAAAGGGTTGCCATCGCAAAGAAAACAGCTCTAGTAAAAAACACCGTTACTACGATGAAAACTTCAGATCGATCAGTCGAGTCCAAGAAGGTGCCGAAAAAGGGTAATTATCTTATTTCACTTTGCTTCTCTTGTATGTTAAATTTGTCATATTTTTTTTACGCCGATACCTACATGTAGTGATTTTAAATCGACAAAGACGACGTCTATTAACATTTCTCATTTGTAAGTAAAAACAGAATTTTACATATACTAATAATTTTCAAAAATATTGTCTTTTTTAATGTACACTTGTTCAATAATTGATTCCCTAAATTTGAAACATACCACTATGAAGTGGTAAAATTAAAAAATTTTGTACAAACGACTTCATTAAAAATGATTTCTTATCTTAGTATTATTTAGTATTATTTCATTAAAAATAAAATGTAAACATCATCAATGTAGTTATAGTCAATTAAATACGCGTTATTAAGGATAACTTAAAAATCACTGGTCAGGTCTTGATCAAATTTATATGGGACATCAAAGAATCATCAAAATCTGAAAAGAGGCAAAAATATACATTAAAAAAATATAGTCGAATTGAGTAGGCACCTCCGGTTAAAAATTAATGCAAAATGACATATCTACCAAAAACCCACGAGTTGTTGATAAAATAACAAATTCGCAATAACAGTTTTCGTACCCAGGTTCGAATCTTTCCTTTAACTAAATTTTTGGAATTATAGTTAAAGAAAATCTAAAAAATGTCGCTGGTGCTAATTTTTAACTATTCTATTGTTTGCAAAATATCTGTTACAAAGTTTTATTTATCGAACAGAAACGAAAATCGTGGAAAAAGAAAAAGAAAAACCCAAACCAAAAACTGAAGACTATAAGCTGAAACCTACGGCTGAAGGACATTACGAACTAAGCCCGGAAATGTCTCGTGCATTGGATTCTGAGTTAGAACACATAATGATTAAGGTACGTTTTTCAAACACTAATATTTTTATTAGGTGCAAATAAAATATGTAATTTTGCGATGGATTATATTACAGACAATGATATTTTAAAGCTATAGATAATTCTGTGACAGCTTTTCTTAATCCACATTGAAAAAATTGTTCACACATGCTCACCACGGTAAGCACAAAGCCGATAACCTGAAATGTAGCCATGAGGGGCGAGTGTGGAATGGACGGACTCGTTAAATCAAATATCGACGTACAATCAACCCGTCGGCGGTCCGCCATCCACCCATTAATTATTCGATTAGACGTTTAAACTGAGGCCGACGTTCTTATCGACTGGCAACGCTACGACGAAGTGTGAACTTAGTCCGTTAATGCAGTTAATTCGTTCAAACAAACAAATTTGAACTTTAAAACTAGTTGTAAGGAGCTTATATTGGGTGCGTTTAGCAGAAAAAAGCGCTAGCAAGCGCTTGTAAGCAAAATGGCGAAACTAAACAGTTTTCAGCCAGGACACGTTTGCTAACTTCAGTAGCGCTGACACAATCCGTCATTTTGCTTATTTATTTTGTTTGTTTTGAATTAGAGTTTATAAGTTGTTTTGTGCAATATTAGTTTTAAGTAATATAATGACATGAATAGACATGTACACTTTATTAAAAATTCATGATTGGTAAGTTTTTAATATGAATAATTTACAAACATATATTTAAATTAGGTTAGGTTCCCCGGTTAAAAATAACTTCGTGTCCTAGAGGAAAATAGCTACTTACCATTTGACAGCGCTTACCGCTTATGATCGCCATTTTGCTTACAAGCGCTTGCTAGCGCTTTTTTCTGCCAAATGCACCCATTGAATAGGCGTTTTAGTAATGCAAATTCATGACTTGAATCGACACTGTCTTACCCAAATAATTTGAACTTTATTATTTAATATGAAGAAGTTTATATTTGAATGGACATATTAGATATATTCAACCTAACCTAACCTAAGCTAAGCTATTTAAATTTTGAAGGTAAGTTAAAATTGATTATAACTTTTTTTTTTGCAATTAGGCAATACATAACACGTTTTACATTCTTTAGATTTATTTTCTATTACATCCTATAAAATATAAAAGTCCACTGCTAATCATAGGCTTCCCCCATAGGTTGTCTCATAGGGGAAATTTCGTCTTAGTTGTACCAGTTCAGATTCGTGTTTTCGTCTAATAATACTAATATATAGTACTTAATATTTATATTAATATATAATAAATATATATAATAAATAGTACTTAATATTAATCCTCAACTTTACCATATATTTATTTAAAAATTAATGCTGCAAAATTTTCGGCATAACAGAGGATCTTGCTAAGCCTTTTGAGGTAGAATTTTAGTATTTCCCCTTAACTAGTCGGCGGATTGAACTAGTTGATCGACTTATCGATGAACGAAGTGAATGTCTAGTTTAGTTCACGACAAACTCGTCGATGACCAATCGCTAATAGACATACCCTCACCTACACACGGTACCCGGTCCTAATTAACGTACGTATCGACGACATGCGTATTTTGTTTCTATAATTTTCAGCCTGTAAATATTTTACTGTTTTTTTTTTGGTTTTAACAGGTGTGGCAAGAGTTCCCCGATGATCCAACTACGGATGAAGAGAAACTTGTTTCTGAAAAGTTCAGAAATGAAGCCGGTGACGATCTAAGAAATGTAAGTACATGTGCTCTTTTTGTTTTCAGGCATTTATAAAATGTAAACAAATTGTTAAGTATTTTTTCTTCTAATATTAACAATATGTTAATATTTGATAATTAACTAAACTACCAACATATTATTCTCTATGTATTTTAAAACGTGCATATTAAACTACAACTCTAAACTTTTAACAATTGTCTGGGCATTATGAAATTATGATCTAATTATATACAAAAAAACAACTCCAAACTATATGGAGTCGAATTATACTTAGGTTTTTTTTTATAAAATAAGGATGACAAATGAGCACACAGTCCACCTGATGGTAAGTGGATGCTGTGGCCCATAGACATCCACATTTATCCTCGAATAAAAATCAAAACGCAGATGCTTTGTCACCCCTGGGGATTAAGATGGAATGCCTCGTTTCGAGTAAAAAAGGGTCGGCGGATCCCTACACTTACCATACGAAACACAGCAGTATTAAGCTGCTATTTTACGCTGGTATTCTGTGAGAGCGAGGTCCGCGAGCCGACCCATTCACGCTACAACCATATATAGCTGCGGCGTGCCTCTACCACGTATAAAGATATTGTGTTTTAATTTATTTTAAGTATCTATAAAGTGAAGGTATTAAACAGTTTATTTATTGCTTTAGTTTCCATGATAAACTATATTACCACTAAACGTACAAACGATTTCTTTAATTTTTAATAAAATCTCTATGTGTGACCTAGTATCCGCGTTGCTTCAGTGTGTATTGGCAGACTTCACATGTTCTCGTGGTATTTTATTCTTCAGACTTGTAGGTTTCTTCTTGTTGTTTTCCTACACCGCCGAGCACATGGTAATTTTTTTTGCGCCCTAAAGCAAATAAGCCTCCCCTCCGGTAAACGGGGGAGGGAGGTGGTGATATGGTAAATCAGTATTTAAAATTGCAAGAAACAATTTCATTAATACCGGCGGAAGTTGGTGGCGGAGATTGACTTGGGTTGCTTATGTACTGTGAATTTTACGGTAAGCGCTTATCCCTCAGGAGATGGGCAGCAGCGTCTTCCTAATAACGACTAAAAATAAAAACTGCGGTTGCCAATCCGCTTGCCAAGCGTGGCAACTGTGGCAAATATCCCCCCTATGAAGCCATCTATAGGAGAGGTCTGTGTTCAGAAGTAGACTTTAGTAGGATGTAACTGTAACAGTAACATCTTATCGCTGAGCTACCACAGTTAGTTTTTCAGTTTATAATGTAAAATAACTTTTGTTTCAGATTTTAGGATTAAGTGTGACAAAGCGACTGGTGAACCTGCACGGTTCTTTGTTTGTTAAGGTAAGTGTTATTGAAGTAAAACTTCTTTACGCACGCTTGACTTGGGGAGTAAGCTGGCGAACGCGTGACGAAAGCATTACGAAAGCGTTACGAGAAGTGTGATCGGCCGAGGCGAACGGGAGTTGAGTGGGGGATATAAGCAAGAGAGAGCAGTGCGTGCGCACAATTTCGTTCTCTCTTTCTCTTATAGCGAGTTACGTTCCGTATTTTAGGAATTAATATTTTATTCAATACATTAAATATTTTACGTTTAATGTGAATAAAATTATAAATTCATTTTAAAGTTCATGTTTTGTGAATTTTCGGCTGAATAATAACAATTATGGAAGGAAGTCGATAAAAAATTTAAATATTTGTAGAAAATTAATTTATATGTGTATGTTCTTTAGCTCCATTTATATATATATATATATACAAATGGAGCTAAAGAAGTTTTACTTCAGTGTTCATAAGCACACTCGTTTTTTTTTTATAAAGTAGAGGTTACTATATAGGAATAAGCGAGTAAGTGGATGCTGTGGCTCATAAACACCTACATCTATAAAGATTGAATGCCTCATTATTAGAAGTAAAAAGAATCTCCAATTCTTGTCATTCACCATACGAAACACAGAAACAAGATAGTTTTGCTATGTTTTGTATGGAAAAATCCGTACGAAGTTAGAAATTATAATAATATGTATCGGCAACGCCACGAGTCATGGAAGTGCGCAGGACCAAAAAATAGGTGTCGGCACGGTGAGGTGTGAGGTACGGGGAAGCGAAACCATAACAACGGGCGACGCGCTACTCCCAAGTAGTTTCTCCCTGCGTCCCGTCGCCCGCGCACCATCTTGTGTCGTCTTGTGTACTATCGATATCGAAAGTGTTAGCGACTACCTGTTATAAAATTTTAAATTAAATTTTTGCGATTATTTTTGTACTTCTAAAAATATTGTTCTATAATATATTTAAATAGTGTGCAAATATTTATTACTTTGTAAATTATTTTGGGACTATTTAAAATAGCGTAGTTCGTAGTATATTGTATAAAGTTGTAAATAATTTTTTATTTCCTACAAGATGATTTTTTTTTTGCAAATTATTGCATGTAAATATCCTTCTAATCGAAGGCTATCGCATAGTATAGTTTAAACAGCAATTACAAATACAAACATACAAATACAAAATTTTCTGTGTAGTATTTGAGTTAACTGATGATATATAAAGTGGGAATATATTATTACCTTTATTAAAATGCCATAATAAAATTTTCATTTTTGTGCTTGATTGTACATGCGCAGTGGACTCGATTATTTACTCTATTATTATAGTGGACTCTATTATTCATCTTAAGTGGCACGACCTATAGAAGATAATAGTTTTCACGTGGGTGAACTCTATTTACATTCTGTCCACTGCTGTTTGCCTGAGCCACTCTCATAGCTAAGGAGAATTTACCGTAATTGACACTTGACGGACGGATTGGTGATCGTTGATCGAATTACTCAACTCGTACACTTGATGCTGCCGCGGGTCCGACTACATCTGATTTTAAGACACCTTATCGACGAGATGGGGTTATGAAATCTCTTACCCTGATATCATTTTACTAACTTACAAGTGTGCACACAAATACATAGCCTATATATGGCAGAAAAAAGCGCCAGCAAGCGCTTTTAAGCAAAATGGCGATTGTAAGCGGTTAGCGCTGTCAAATCGTAAGTAGCTATTTTCCTCTAGGACACGAAGTTAGTTTTAACCGGGGAACCTAACCTAATTTAAATATATGTTTGTAAAGTATTCATATTAAAAACTTACCAATCATGAATTTTTAATAACATGTATAATATGTTTATTCATGTTCATATTACTTAATACTAATATTGCACAAAACAATTTATAAACTCTACTTCAAAACAAACAAATTAAATAAGCAAAATGGCGGATTGTGTCAGCGCTACTGCAGTTAGCAAACGTGTCCTGGCCGAAAACTGTTTAGTTTCGCCATTTTGCTTACAAGCGCTTTTTTCTGCCAAACGCAGCCATAGACTAATTATTATAACTGTGTAGTGGTAGTACCTTCTTTTATATTCTGCTTTTTAACAAACGAGTTTTCACATTTCCGATATTGACAAAGTGAGATGGGTCATTGTTAGCGGTGGGGCCAACGCCTTTTTTCTTGTTTTGAAATTGTAAAGACCCGTTCATATTGAATACTTCTAAAATTTACTGAAGACAAAATTAAATTATTTTCATATGAAATAATTTCATAAATAAATAATAATAAAACAATATTAGATATAGTATAAATATATTATGCATAAGAACTTATAAATAAAACTAGCTTGCCAGGCAGATGTTGTTCTGCCCTTTTCGCCGACAATTTGTCCTATGGAAAATTCCTATAAAAATCCTTAAATTCGCAAAAAAAAAATTGTGGGTCAGACAATTTGTCCTATGGAAAATTCCTATAAAAATCCTTAAATTCGCAAAAAAAAAATTGTGGGTCACTCGTGGGGAAAATAACTATCCTATCTCAAGTTGGACCAAACTGCACACGATGTGTAAATTTGATTAATATCGTTTGAGTAGTTTAGGAGTCCATCGTGGACACACAACGTGACACATACTTTATATATTAATCTCACCAAAACCCCTTCACAAGTCCACTGCCGAACACAGGCCTCCCCCAAGGAATTATTAACGTTTATATATATTAAGATAATTATCATATAATTTTTGTAATCTTAAAAACTATCATCATCAGTTCCTTCTGATGAAAACTGTCTGACGACACATTAATAATAAACTGTTCTGACATATTTTCTACATTATTTTCGAACCAAAATGTACTAACATTTTGGTTTCGATCTTAGTTGCCACATGATTGACATATGACCATTTTTGGCTATCCACTTTAGCTACTCCTTGTAACAAAAGAGTTCGCATCAATTTTATCTTTTGTTATTTGCTGCCACGTAACCCTTCACTTTAATCCAAACAAGCTCAATTGGGTTGAGCTAACAGTAATACAATGGGAAACATATGACGCGACAATTTGTGGACTTAGCCATCTTGTCTACGACAATTTTTTCAAAGTGATCTATGCTTTGTTTAACTAAATCCAAAAGTTGCAACTTAAACATTGATTCGTCACATGCATTCAATAATGTCTTATTTGCGAGATGAAGTTGTAGGTGCTTTGTCAAGTTTTCGAGAATGATACGATGCATAACATAACATAACATAACATAAACACTCACGCCTGTCACCCAGAGGGGTAGGCAAAGACTACAGACTTCATTTGGCACGATCCTGACACACCTCTCTCGCCTCCTTCACATCCATACACCTACGCATACATGCTCGTCGGTTAAGGGTACTCCTAATTGGGACCGTTTTCAATAAATCGCCAATTTGGTCGATTTTTCGCCTAGGACGTCCCTTTCCGACTCTGCCATTCACTTCTGCAACATAAATTTTCTTTGTCACTCTTTCCTCATTCATTCTTTCCACATGACCAAACCACCGAAGCATTCCTTTCTTAATCCTGGTCACAACATCATCTTGCAAACCACACTCTTCTCTTATTACACAATTTCTTACCCTGTCGTTCAGATTCAGCCCTAACATACTCCTTAACGACCGCATTTCTACTGCGTTGATTCTAATCTCGTGCTTCTGCCACACCCAACTTTCACTACCATACGTTAAAGTGGGGACCAACACAGCATTGTGAATTGCCATACGTGCCTTTTTCGACACATTTTGACTCTTCACAATAGAGTGCAGGGCCCCATTTCCTCTATTTCCCGCATTCACTCGTCGTTCTATATCCTTATCATATCTCCCATCCCTGCTAAATACGCAGCCCAAATATACAAACTCATCTACTTGCTCGATCAACTCCCCTTCTATTCTTATTTCACAAATCGTTTTACTTTCTTCTCTTTCAAAAACCATAACCTTCGTCTTACTTGCGTTCACTTTCATACCCCTTTCTTTTAATGATCCGTTCATTAATGTAACCATCGTTTGCAACTCGGCCGCCGACGACGCAAGGATAACTTGATCATCGGCGTACAAAAGGCATTTGACGGTTAACTCACCCATTCTTAATCCGCATTCTTCAACTTTCAAATTTTGCAAACAACTGTCCATAAATAGGTTGAACAGCCACGGGGAAGCCACACAGCCCTGTCTGACACCTTTATGGATGTCAAACCAGTCCGAGTAGACCCCGTTGATCCTAACACAAGCACTAGAGTCCCTATAAAGAGACTCCAATGCCTGTATCAAGCCAGCGCTCAACCCAAATGAGTTCAGTGTTTGCCATAGCATATCTCTATCCACTCTGTCATAGGCCTTTTCCAAGTCCATGAACGCACAAAAAACCTTTTGGTTTTTGGCCAGAAACTTCTCCGCGACCATGCGCATGGAAAAGACTTGATCTGTATATCCCATTCCCTTTCTAAATCCCGCTTGCACATCCCAAATTTTTCCATCAGTTTCTTTCATGTCCCTTTCAATCAGTACCTTAGCATAAAGTTTTCCCACAATGCTAAGAAGGCTGATGTCACGGTAGTTTTTACAGTCCTGCTGCGACCCTTTTCCTTTATATACTGGGACTGTCACGGCTTTGCACCAGTCTACCGGTACCCGCTTCAGTTCTCAGCATATATTAAACAAGGTGTGCAGCAGGCCTGCCACGACTTCCTCTCCAGCCCTTAGCATTTCGAGTGAAACTCTATCATATCCGGCAGCCTTACCTGCTTTCATGCTTTTCATTGCTTTCATTATTTCATCTATACTTATCTAGCTACCTCTTTCCTCTTCTTTCGAAGTTTCTACTCCACTTCGTACACACGTTGTCTCCTCACTCATAAACACGCTTTCAAAATATTCCTTCCATCTCTTTAAACTCAAAACTTTCATTCAGAATATAGCCATTCTCGTCTCTTATAGCATTCATCATAGGCTGTTTTGAATGTCCTCTGGCAGTTCTTACAAGTTTCCAGAACATTTTAATATTTGCCTGGAAGTTGAATAAAACTAAATTTACGGATTTTATCGCGTTTATTTCACTACTTTTACTTATTTTTAATTCCCGACGTTTCGGGTGCTTTACAGCAACCATGGTCACGGGGGGGACTCCCCCCCGAGTCCCCCCTAACTCCTTCATACATAATTCATCCAAACCACTTATATTTTTTTTCAGTCTACATTTGAACTTGTTTTTCTTACCTTCATCTTGTAACCTTTCTGTTCTAATACGCTGTAACGCAGTGGTAGACAGATAATCGATGCCGCGAACGCCTGAATAGACCATTAATTCGGCATAAAACCAAATAATGATCCGTTCCTACGTTAGAACCCCGGTAAACCACTGCGCCCCTCAAATAATAAGTGCATTCTTCAATTTAGGTAAAACGTGAGTGTGATGGTGAGTGTAGAGAACCGGAAACCCGTTTTACTGGAATCGAGGCATTCCATCTTAGTTCTCAAAGGTGACAACGCATTTACATTTTGATTCTTAACCGAGGTTAAATGTAGATGTCCATGGGCCACTGCATCCACTTACCATCAGGTGGTCTATGTGCTTGTTTGTCACCCTAATTCTATAAAAAAGGCCTATGTTCAACAGTGGACTTTTATAGGCTGTAATGGATAAATGAATGAATGAATAAAAACATAGCCTTACAATAAGTTCGGATTGTCGGCAATAAGATCGGAGGTTGTACTGAGGAACAAAAACACAACCACACTCAAAACCAACAATTTTTTTTGCACAATTGTTGGCTGAGACTACGACTCGAACCCAATACCAGGAGACAATAGCCAGGTACTCTGACCACTAAGGCGTACAGTAGTACCATATCTTCTTTGTCGGGCATTTGAGTCCTCTGCTTGATCTAGGTCTTTCGTCGTACTATATACTTGCTAACGCTATACACACTATTCAACTTACACTAAATAAATTGTCAACAGATTCAATTCATGAAGCGGCCTGAGAGAGGTAGTTTAAGAGAATTTATCAAGAAATATAACTTCATAACCTTCAAGCGCATCGATAATGGAGTAAACATGTTCGTAGCCCAACTGAGTAATATCGTTGATTTTGATCGCCTTTGCGCTCCTAAACATGTTTATTGTGGTGAGTATAATTGAAAGTAAATTCGGAAATCAATTCCGTTCTTTTAGATATTTTACTTAACTAATAAATATTTTGCGTTTAAATTGGAGGAGTTGGTTAAATAAACATTTTTAAACCTACTGCGATAGAACACAAAAGCAGGGTCTTGTTTGTTATGTATGTATGTCAGTTTCTATATTCCCCTAAACCATGAAGGTTAGAGAACAGGAGAACGATCACTACGTACTAAAGCATAGCCCGCCTGTGCTTGAAAATTGTAGAATTTATAGCGGCGCTGACGTCGGTGAGTAGTGACAGCGAAGTTAGCTGTTTATGAATACAAGTAGGTGAAATTAGTTGAATAATGTACAAATTTTCATTTCGTTTTTTCGTAGGAAATTTTGTAATTTTTGACAAAAAGAAACATTAAAAAATGGAGAAATATTTTATTGTGCGTGGATGTGCATGTGGTTGAGCATCTGATCGGAAAAATAGACTGAAAATGACTTATTGACTGCACTTAGTGATCGCGGCGCGTCACTGATGGTGTCCATATTTCTGGGACACTATTTTCTACGACGATCGTTCTCCTGTTCTCTAACCTTAATGCCCGAAACTCTCAGTTTGACAATATCAATCGATCTGTCATGATTGCGCAGGTAACTATAAACTATATGCCGTCAGCATTAAATATGCTGCACATATATTAAAAGCAAATATATTATCGTGTATAGTTTCACATATCTAGGTACATTGAATTTTGTATATAAAATGTATCTTGGTCAAATCTTTGATGTAAAATAATTATTAATTTGTTACGTCAGAAAAAAATCATGTGTATGATTTTTTTACGTTTTAAAACTCAATGTATCAACTAAATTGGGAAAAGTAAAGATATTCAGATTTAGTTTACTAAACTCTGATATCGAAAAATATATATCTCTCTCTCCCCGCCTCTCTGTTTCATTCACTTCAACTGATTGTTCTGTTGCTCCAAAATTTTTTTTTGTTTTTTTTTTTTTTTTTTTTTTTTTTAAACGTTGTGTTAGTTTTTATCAGCAACAGGTACTAATAATATTTTATCCTTCGTAGGGCGAGACAGAGTAAAAGTGACACCGTGTTATAGTTTTACGTACTGCCCGCCAAACTTGAGAACAATTTTTAGCGACAGATACGTAGATGAGGAAAAGAGCAAAAACATTGGTGCCGCAGAAAATAAAACCGAGGCTACCGAGCAAACTGCTGAACATAATAAAACAGCAGAAACTAATACAAATGCGAAAGAAGAAAAAATTGAAGCAAACGAAAATAAATCCTCAAATACTAAAACTTCCGATGTTAAAACTGAAACTGTCATAAAAGCAACGGAGATAATATCCCACCCAAAAGACGATATCAAAACAATGGAAAATCTAAAAACAAGCTCGAAAGAGATGATAGAATCTAAAAGTGAATATACACAAGATAAAAGCAAAAGTATCCCTAATAAACCTAAGGCAAAAGAACCATCTTCATCAAACGATTCTAAAGAACAAACAATCAAAAAACCAAATTTAAAACAACCTGTACTGACAACAAAAGAAGTCAAAGAAAATAAAAATATTGATTTGAAAAAAAATCTAGACGCTTTCATGGATTTTAACGAGGAAGATCAAGAAGTTATCTCAGAATATAAATATGATGATGACGAAGAATTGGACGACAAGGACATTCTTGCATTAATATCTGAAGGAATAGTTCTAGATGAGTGTAGTGGTTCAGAGGTAGAGTGATTTCTATTGATAGAGTGATATATTTAGAGGAAGAATTAGATGTAGCAATTATTTTAAGTTTACATAATGATTTCTTATCTTTACGCCAACACTATATATTGATTAAAACTACTTTTACGGATTTTATCGCGTTTTATTTATTTTATTTTTAATACCCGACGTTTCGGGTGCTTTCCAGCACCCATGGTCACGGGGGACTGAGGTGACTGACGTTCCGATGTCTTAGTTAACCCGGAGTACCTTCAGTTTTTTAATTATTATCTTTGGTCCGATCTACGCAGAACTTCAAAACACAGTTAGTTCATTCTGCGTAGATCGGACCAAAGACAATAATTAAAAAGCTGAAGGTACTCTGGGTTAACTTTGACATCGGGACGTCAGTTACCTCAGTCCCCCATGACCCCATGGGTGCTGGAAAGCATCCTAAACGTCGGGTATTAAAAATAAAATTAATAAAACGCGATAAAATCCGTAAAAGTAGTTTTAATCAATTATTTTAAGTTTGTATATTTACGTAATATCTTAAAAATTATTTAATAAAGCAATGTTCCAAAATAAATGATGTTTTTGTTTTCGAAAAAAGATTCTTAAACTAAAAAGCTGGTGGCCTTCTGCCAATTTGTTAACAAAGAAATTAATTATAGAAAAGGGTAATAAGGTTCTTTTTATAGAATAATTTGACTATTTGTCTGAGGTAGAGTAATTTCTCTTGATAGAGTGATATATTTAGAGGAAGAATTAGTTGTAGCAATTATTTTAAGTTTGTATATTTAAGTAATATCTTAAAAATTATTTAATAAAGCAATGTTTTAAAATAAATGATGTTTTTGTTTTCGAAAGAAAATTCTTAAACTAAAAAGCTGGTGGCCTTCTGTTAATTTGTTAACAAAGAAATTAATTATAGAAAAGGATAATAAGGTTCTTTTTATGAAATAATTTGACTTAACGAGCACACGGTCCACTTTATGATAAATGGATCCAGTGGCCCATTGACATCTACAATTTTATCTTCGATTATGAATCATTATGAAAAAATAAGAATTACCGCTGAGGACTAGGATGGAATGAATGAGTTGTATCCAGTAAAAAGGGTCTCTGGTTTCAGTGGCGTAGCGCATTGGAAGAAATGACACAGGCCCCCAGCCGGAAGTTTGACGAGTATGTTTATTTGGGACATCTAGTCCGACTTACGACAGACTTACCTAAGTCTAACTTCGACTGATGACTTATGGACCAATGTGACCGACACTGAGACGTGGTCCTTCATTGCTGGTCGTTTGGGAAGCTTAATGTTGCTCAACTCTGTGGAGAGGTCTATGCTCTGGGTTTCTCTGTGATATTGTAAACTTGTGATGTTATAAACTTAGAAAAAGAAGAAAGTAAAACTATATGTGAAATAAGAATAGAAGGAGAGTTGGTCGAGCAAGTGGGAGAGTTGGATGAGAGATATGATAAGGTTATATAACGACGAGTGAACTCAGGAAATAGAGTAAATGGGGCTCTACACTCTATTGTGGAAAGTCAGAATGTGTCAAAAAAGGCACATATGGCAATTCACAATGCTATGTTAGTCCCTACAATGTATGGTAGTGAAAGTTGTGTATTGCAGAAGAAGCACGAGAGTAGAATAAACACGGTAGAAATGCGGTCGTTTAGGAGTATGTTAGGGCTGAATCAGAGTGACAGGGTGAGAAATTGTGTAATTAGAGAAGAGTGTGGTATGCAAGATGATGTTGTGACGAGGATTAAGAAAGGAATGCTTTGGTGCTTTGGTCATGTAGAAAGAATTAATGAGGAAAGAGTGACAAAGCGAATTTGTGTTGTAGAAGTGAACGGCAAAGTCGTTAAGGGACGCCCTAGGCAAAAGTTTGTCAACCAAATTGGCGGTCTACTGAAAAGGGGCCAAATTAAGAGTACCCTTAACCGACGTGCATGTATGCGTAGGTATATGGATGTGGAAGAGGCGAGAGAGGTGTGTCAGGATCGTGCCAATGGAGTTTGTAGTCTCTGCCTGGGTGACAGAAGTGAGTGCTTATGTATTGTGTATAAACTTAGAAACGGGGATATCTGCAGTACAACCAAAGTAATTGACGTAGCCCAACAGATCATCAGTATGCTGAATTGGCAATTTGCTGGCGATATAGCTCGAAGAACTGATAATAAATGGGAAAGAAAGGTTCTCGAGTGGCAGTCTCGTACCTGTAGGCGAAGTGTAGGGCGGCCCTTCACGAGTGACGACCTTGTAAGACATACAGTTGATGGATGCAGGTGGCTCAGGATCGTACTTTGTTGCATTACTTGGGGAGGCCTAAGTTTTGCAGTGGACTTGTTAAGGGTTAATGATGTTGAATGTCGGTAGTAAAGGTTAAAATTAGCGATATAGTAATTCACAGTCCATCACATCTACAGTACATTTTAGGAGTAATACACACTAAAGCCATGCTATTGCTATTGTACCTTCAGTTTATACAAAGGTACTCTGTGGTATCTTCTAAGAAATTTCATTGATGGTTAAACTACCGCCATCTAGTCATTGCTTTATGATTTTATGAAACACTTAATACTTTTTAATTTATAGCTGCTCTGGAATCTAGCATTTTTAGCTACATTATGTTGTGGCAGCGCTGTCGTCGCGCCGCAAGAGAAACACACCGAAGCATAAATCACACTATCAAAATTATAATCATAAACAGTATATACATGTATAGAACATCTCCGAACTATCACACGAAGTGTTGGCCACTCCCCGGGCAGAACACCTTGCCCGGCGGGAGATCTCCCTATTCCTTCCACACCCACAATATAAATCAATCAAGATGGTGTGGCCGCCACATAAAATTAAGCATTATTAATAATAAATCTAATGATAGGTATAAAGGAAATACTAAAAAGAAATTCATATTCTATTAAGCAAGTTATTGTTATAAGTTATTGTATTTATTAACTACATTAAAAATATCATCATCATCTTCATTACAGCCCTTCACATGTCTACTGCTGAACATAGGCCTCCCTAAGGTAGGTATGCCACAAAGCACGGTCCTGAGCCGCCTGCATACATCGACTTCCTGCTGTCTTACCAGGTCGTCACTCCATCTAGTGGGGGGTCACTCTACACTTTACCTAACGGTACAAGGCTGCCACTTAAGAACTTTTTGCCCCCATCGGTTGTCCGTTCTTCGAGATATATGGCCGGCTCATTGCCACTTCAGCTTACTAATTCGTTGTTCTATGTCGTTTACTCTGGTTCTACTGCAGATATCCTAATTTATAAGTTTACCACGCAGAGAAACCCCGAGCATAGCCATCTCCATGGCTCGCTGAGTGACTGAGCGTCCTCATACGGTCGGCACTGAAGGACCACGTCTCAGTTTCGTAGGTCATCACTGGCAACACGCACTGGTTGTACAGTCTCGGTTTCAGGTTTTGAGGTATACCTGACGAAAAGACATGTCGTAATTTCTCGGCCGAAGTTGGACTTACCTAGTGAGACTATTAGTCCCAGGTAAACATACTCGTCAACAACTTCGAGCTTAGTGCTCCCAACAACTACGGGGATAGGTGTGACATGGACGTTACACATGATCTTTGTTTTGTCCATGTTCATCGTAAGACCTATCCGTTGGGAGACATTATTGAGGTTATTGAGCATAGTGCTTAGGTCCTCCAGCGAGTATGCCATAAGTACTATATCGTCGGCAAATCGAAGGTGAGTGATGTACTTGCCATTGGTGTTAATACCGTATCCTTTCCAGCCCAGTAGCTTGAAAACGTCTTCCAATGCTGCGGTGAAGAAAAGACATATCGGTGTTACTAAATTAATTAATTATGACTTCCAAAATAATAAATAATAAAAAATCCCTTCATAGTTCTAAATTCAAGTTAGTTTATATTTGCTACATACATGAGGTCTATATTATAAGGAGTAATAGTAAAAAATAGAGGTTTAAAATTAGTTTCATTAGGCAACACTGAATCTTCAATTTTTTTTATTAACTGACTTTACGGATCTGGGTTCTAGCCTTTCTGAGCCTATTATTTCTTTCAGGATTTTCATTTTATATTATTTTTCTTCACAATATGCTGATGCGTCACATTGAGAAGCCCTTGGGAGATTTTGACGATAGCTCAACCTAGCGGACAGTTGATGACGACAGCCACTCAAGTTCATGAGGCGCCCAAACTATCAATATTACTTGAGGTTTATATCAACATCAAAGCTTGTTTCGTTGTTTTCTCTAATAGTTCACACGCGTGGACACTTAATTCACAAAATCGCATCACTTTTACGAATCAAAATTCACTTCAAACCATTATTCGAGCGACAAAACAGGAGCGACAATCAACACATGTTCCCGCAAAAACCCCATGAATCTTCAATTTGATTTAATGTCAAATGAAAAATTATTTAAGAAATATGTCCACCGGATTGTGCATGTGCTTATTTCTTTTTATTTCATATTTTTGAGTGTTTTACCGTAATTGCTTTTGTATAGCACAAAACATAGGGCTCAATGTGCTTTAAAGTAGATTTTGTAGTTGGTGCAGTGACAAATATAATAAAAAACTTATAAAATATTATGTTAATTTCAACCCTGCAATTTTTATGATGGTTTGTAGTAAGTCACTTTTTTATATAGGATAGAGTGACAAAAGAGCACACAGTCCACCTGATGGCAAGTGGTTGTTGTGGCCCATAGACATCTACATATATCCTCGATTACGAATCAAAATGCAGATGCGTTGCCACCCGTGAGGACTTAGATGGAATGCCTCGTTTCCAGTAGAAAGGGTCTCCAGTTCTCTACACTCACCATACGAAACACAGCAGCATTAAGCTACTATTTGACGCTGGTATTCTGTGAGAGCGTGGTCCTACTAACATAACTGCAGCATGGCTCTACCACGTATGAAATTTTTCTATATTATGTGAAACATCGCACGTTTTGGTGTTATCTTATTTTCAAGATATAATCTTGTTAAAAATTGTGAAATAAATA